AATGTGTTAAACAAAAATAGCTATTCGCTATCAGCATTTCAGATGCACGAAAGTCATCTTCCTGTGACCGTTTTCATCCACGAATCCTGAGGCGAAATAAACCTCGAAGGCGCATACCGTATGCTCAATCAATAACCATACATCCTTCTTATATATAAAGCTGAATGTGTGTCTGTCTGTCTGTCTGTGTGTACGTATGTGCGGTAGAAATTTTTATTTCTGAACCGATCCGGACCAAACTTGGCACTATACTACTTCGTGGGGAGCGTGTCATAGGCTAATTTTCGTATCGGTCGATATCGATTTTATCGATTTTTTGCAAAGTTTGATCTACAGGGCTGGGAGTTGGCACAGGGGGTAAGTGAGCATGGCGACTCCGAATGCAATATCAGTTTTCAGAATTATCTGTTAATTTTATCGATTTTTTGCAAAGTTTGAGCTACAGGGCTGGAAGTTGGCACAGGGGGTAATCGAGCATGCTGAAATACATTATTAGTTTTTCGTATTACCTATTGCTTTTATTGATTTTATCGATTTTTCCAAATTTGAGCTGAAGGGCTGGGAGTTGGCACAGGGGGTAAGTGGGCATGCTGATTCGAAAACAACACAGGGAACAGGAAAAGAAGTGTAGAAGTGGGCACAGGGAAAGGCTGAGGGATAGGGTAGGGATGGAACCTTTATTACAGTGTTTTGACAGGGCCGAGCGGAGCCGGGTAAGAAGCTAGTTTTGATATACATGGTGTCCCAAAAAAATGTTAACACTGTTTGATCGTTAAAGGCAGTGTCCCGGCAGATTTTGCACCTCCACCTTTTTGCATGTTTCAGGCCTTTTCGCCACGTAGAATCCTAATTTGAGCTTTGAACGGGCTGAAAAGGCCGATTTTGGGGCGTTTTTCTAATCCTAGAAAAGCAGCTTGGACGAGATTTTTAATGGGATGGGGTGACCAGGAACCCCACCACACATATATCCCCCAGGACCCGAATCTGCCGGGACACTGCCTTTAACACGTTTCGGACCGCGAAATCGCGCGCGGCGAAAAAGAGTGTACTTTTGGCCGCTAGCCTACAAAAGGACCTTATTTCGCAGCCTGTGGACCACATTTGTAACCAGCATGTCAGATAAGCTCCATACCCAAAGTTCTGAGTGAATTCGAAGAGTTTGAATTTTGTTGCTTGAGAGGGATTTTTGTGCTTTCTTGAAAGATAGGAGAAAGAACTCAGTTTCAAATAGTGTTCAAAAGTATCTATGTTGTAGGCTGTACACATCATTATTGAAACCACGGTTTTTCCCTTTGAAATCGAAGCAAGGAAAAGTTGCGACGTCGCACGCGTCGTTCGCGTTGCCGCACTTCGTTGCAACTGTTGTTCGTTTTGTCCTCATATCTCCTAAACCAATACGCGCAGCACAGCTCTACAGAGTCATTTGAAAAGTAGGAGCTTAGACCTTTGACTTAACAACTTTGGACTAAAAGGAAACCTCCTGTAAACGCCAGAAAGATCCTTCAAAGCAGCGTGCTGCACCATGTGCAGCACCGGTCCGAAACGTGTTAATAACTCCCTTGCTTTCAAGTCTTTTGCCGAGCTTTAGGTACCATTCTGTAGAGGGAGGATAAACTTAGATTTACAGTATCGAGCGAATCATCTAACGCTCCTCGTTACTGTAGTATTACGGTAGGAAATTCCAGCATGTGGAACCGTCATGAAATATGCTCTCTGACAAAAATTTTTTCAAAAAATCTGAAAAATCGTATACTAGGGTTTTCGCGCACGCTGATTTTACTGCACAACTTTTTGCGAGTGTTTTCAGCTTTTTTGACGGACACGGACACATTTTTGACACATGCTGGGAAGTCAGTTATTACACTTTACCTAGGATAACTTTGAAAAGAAGTATCATAATGAAATGAAAATTTCATATCCGAAGTCAGCGGCTTTCGCTACCATGGTACAAGAGATTTTGGCTTGTTTGGCTCTGTTTCAAAGCAGAAAATGGGCTTTAATGGCTTAAAATCCTTGTCAAATTTCCTACCGTAATTCTACGGTAACGAGGAGAGTTAGATGATTCGCTCGATACTGTAAATCTAAGTTTATCCTCGCTCTACAAAATGGTACCTGAAGCACGGCGAAAGACTTGAAAGCAGGGGAGTTATTAACGATCAAACAGTGTTAACATTTTTTTGGGACACCCTGTATATGAAACATACATGGAGCCAATACCGTATTCACGAAAGGTTAAACTTCAAAAGTTTTTCCCGATATAATGCAAATGCACTGGTTCAATTAGAAATTCAAGGCAAGCTTAATCTTGCTCCATGCTAGAGTAGAATTTACCTTCAATCGCGAGGTAAATTTTACTCTGAGGTGTGTTTAAATACGGATTATTGGCTTAATCTTATATAGCTGAATGTCTGTTTGTCTGTCTGTACGTATAGGCTGCTGCATGACGAAGGCGCAATATCTTCGGGCGCGAACGCGGCTTTATTAGCCGCAGAGCGCATGAGTTGCGGAATCTACAACGGTGAGGATACGCGCGCGTCGCGTTCGCGCCCGCTCAACTAATATCGCCATTGCGCCTTCGTCATGCAGCAGCCTTTATGTTTGTATGTCTGTCTGTGTGCACGTAAGTTCCGAATAGGAATTTTTATTTCTGAACCGATCCAGACCAAACTTTGCACACATACACTTCGGGGCCGGGCGGGTGTCATAGGCTACTTTTCGTCATCGATCGATATCGGTTTCAATGATTTTATAGAAAAGTTCGAACTGCGGGGCTGGGAGTTGGCATAGGGGGGGGGGGTAAGTGAGCATACTGATTACGAATATATTATTGACAGGACCGAGTGGAGCCGGGTTTGCCATCTAGTGTTTTATATATTTTAAGATATAGGCAAATGATTGAGCATACTGGTGTGCGCTTCCAAGGTTTATCTTACCTCACATTCGTTAATGACTATAGGCCGTCCGCGCACGGCGTGGAGAGTGCGCAGGTGTGTATTGCACGTTACTCCTCTTTCCTCGTGCACTCTCTCCGCCTGTTTTTCTCTGCGCTTCTTCCAGTCGTAAACTGCCTTCAACGTACACAACAGCGTTGCTCTCCGTGCGCAGCGCGGACGGCCTATACCGCCATTGAGCAAAAATCCGAGGAACAATTACAAATCAATGCAATCGACAATTGGTAAAATCTATCACGATAATCACAAAAGCTCCATTAGTCATGGAATAAATGTGCCTTTCATTTTGATGTCTCATTTCTCGATGTTATGCTGATGACACAATAAATGCCTCTAACATTGACAAGAGGGTGGCTTCTCTGCGGCGCGCCCATAACCGGTGGCGTACTGAGGGTTGTGGGCGAGGCGAGCACACCTCCTCCCGAGAATGGGGCGCGAAATTCCTGAAACTTACTTGCATGAGTTACAAAAGTGTGAAAGTGAATGTGAGTAATTTTTCACACTTTGATGGCGTTCTAAACTTTTGGCTCGTCATGCTTCGCCGAAAAAAGCCCAAAAGCGCCCAGAATAGCCCGAAAGCCTAAAGCGTTAGAAAGAGCCGGAACTCTCTGAAACTTTGGTAGAATTCTGGCGCTATTTTGATGTGCAGAGGACCGAAAATGAGCAAAATGACTCGGTTGTTAGATCAACACACATGCCTAGCGTCAAAACATGAGCGCAAAAGTGGGACGTTCCGGCTCTTTCCGGCGCTTTTGGGCTTCTTTGGGCTTTTTTGGGCGATTTTGGGCTTTTTTGGCGAAACATGACGAGTCCTTCAGGGTTATGGGAGCTTTTTAGGAAGCATCCCAGTTTTGTGGCTTACGCAGCTTTCTTTCGCTAGATCTAAAATAAAATACTTTCCTTGTTCATATTTTGCAGAGAGTGAACTTCCTCGTCGCTTACATGGAAGAATCTTGAGAAATACAGAATTTTCATTATAAGCAAAAGTTCATAGCTTAAATCTTAAATCGAGACCAGAGTTGCTCCAATTTTGCTCACCGCGGCTATTTGACATATTGGTTGTTGAGATGATGTTGATTCCATAGGTTAGGGCTTTTTTATAGGGTTAGGGTAGGTAAACATCGTAAGGTCAGGATCTCAGTTGTCATGTATGTTAATAATAATCAGGGGGATAGCGTTTTGCTTACAAGCCACCTGGCCGACTATAATATCTTATCGTTGAAGTAAAGCTTCAATGGGGTTGAGGAGAGTTTTTACACCGTCTACTTACCATAATAACATCATGAGTCTGTTATCTGTAGATAGCATGTCAAAAACCCTTTCGGAAATTTTTAAGCATTGATACCGTTCAATTTATGCGCAGTCTTGACAAGCGCTGCGCTTCGATAAATTGGGTATTGCGAATTGCCGCAGTGTCAGTTGCGCTGGCTCATTATTTAACAACTAGAATGGGCCAGAAAAGGAGCAAAACGAACCACGGGCTCAAGATCATCTGCTATAGCGCAAAAGTTATGAACAACAATAGTAGACCACCGTTAGATGATAGTCTTCCCTTCGCTTCCCTTGCTTTCGTTCTCGATATAATCGGTCTTAAGAACTAGAACTGCTGGGAGCTTCGTCAGATCAAAATGGCTCCAAAACTTCTCAACGTATCTTCTGAGAAATTATAGTGCAAGTACTACTGCCTATTGCCTTGCGCCGCTCGTTCTCTACTCCTGCAATTCTCTACCATCGATTACTCCCTCCCGAACTCTTGAATCACGATCTCAAAATCTTGTAAGTTTTTACAGGTAGGTGCCAGACAGAGTAAGCGAATATTTTGTTCAGCTTCGTTCAGCTGCAGAAGGCGCGCATTAATGTCTGCTGCGTATTCTCTACTGCTGCAAGGCCTGCTTCAGCTGCAGGTCCCGCGCAGAATCAACGTTAATTCTGTGCGCCTTTTGCAGCTGAACGAAGCTGAACAAAATATTTGCTTACTCTGGCACCTACCACACTTGCATCATGCGAACTCACCGATATGTGTGCGATGCACGCTGCGCCCATTTTCAGGACGCCTGAAATCGGTTACGGTAGCATTGCGTAGCGCTGTCAGCTTGGTGGTGTCGCATTTCTTTCATCAGTTCCCGAACATTTCTGCGTTTCGTTACTTTCTCTGCAAATAGTTGGGTGTAGTTGTTGATGTGTACAGCAGATGAATGACCTTTTATTCCAGCGAGTTGTCGGAATTGTTCCGCTACATTGTGGCTAATAGGCAGAGCGCACTAAGGTAAACGCTACGTTTTTATTAGTTATCACTAAGACTTCTTTTGCTGGAGTAACTTTTTTTTTAATGAAGTGCCTCTATGTCTATCTATGAATTTAGTGATCGTTGCCGTCGCATCGCAGCTTCTCGAATTGTTTGCAATACATGCTTTTGACTACAAGGACATTCTTTCACAAAAGGTCAGTATAGATGACCGATATAATACAGGCTTCGTGTCGGAAGCAATACATCAGTGTAAAAACGGTATAGTTCATTTATAAAATCGTGACGACAGATTTTACTGCGGACATTGCGCCCACAGGAGCATAAACGCCATACAAGAAAGCATCACCTCAACGTTCAGCTCAATCACTTCCAATGTCTAAATACTAACGTATAGCAAAAAACCATTCAACTAAAAATGGAAACCAATAAGATCCGATTTCTGGAAGTGGCGTGCGTGTCGCGCGCGGTCGCGCTATCGTCACGATTTTTCAAATGCCCTATAGCTCGCTAGGATGTTTCTAGTATATAGTACAACTGAAGGCTAATGTAGTATCTGCCGTCCTTTTTTGCATAATTCCGTGATAATCGTACATGGCATGCGAAATTGAAAGCTGGGGCTCATGGCAGAACAACCCCCCCCCCCTGCTTAGTGCAGGTGCATCAATCTTATCATTTGAGATCTAGCTCAGCTTCGAGTCAAAAGTGGGCACAAATTGGTAGGGTTTTGAACATAACGGAATGGTTGGTCATTTTATCCAAGGGTGTCTTTATCAGCTTGTCAGAGAACTTATAAATGTTCTCTGCAAATCATGCAGCTCTTTAGTATCTACATTAATGTTAGGGGCGGTAATGCTGTATTTTGAGGGAATTGCCCCTTGTGTGGAATTAGAATGAGAATGAAATACAAATGCTTTTTGGCCATATTATTGTATAAGTTTATAGTGTTTGAGACAAATTTCATTTCACATGGACCTTACCTGGTAAGTATAGCTTTCAAGCTCATAACGAGATTGTCAGATTGCAAGTCTCTGTTGGCGTTTATCTTTGCATTTTCAGCAATGTCTGGATATGATGAATCTGACGACTCCCGATCTTCACAAAGCAGTGATAACATCGGTTTTTTGTGTGCTGGTGAGGAAACTATGAGCACCCCAGTGTTCGCCTCGAAGTTCAAGAAATCGTGTTACTCTTCAACAAGACGACTTGTTGGCTCATTCGCACATGGAATGGGTGAGCTAAATTTGCTTTGCTTATTTGTTGGCGACGTGGTGTTAGTGTTCAGCTGACCACATTAGTTTCCATAATGTTACGCAGTTTTCATAGGTGACATACTACTTATATCGACTCTCGTAATCAAAAGCAGCGAATATTGCAGACATTTAGTGCTTTTTGTCACCAAAAATCGCCATGCTTTGAGCTCCGTCTTGGTACGAATCTGGGAGTTGATGATACCTTGCGCGTCTCGGCAACAATGGGATCTGTGGCATTTTTATTTTTCGAGACCCAACGTCTTAAATCATAGGTAACCACTGGTGGATTTGTGAAGTGATGGGACTCATATCTGCATTGATAATTTCTCGAAATGCCGTGGTCCTTCGTAGCTGGAATTGTTTGTAACAGATCTCGATCGTAGTTGTAGCTACCTTCTTGGTCCATATTCTGCCTATAATATGTGGCTTCAGATTGTAAAGATGGATTATACCAGCACCTCCATATCCACTTGTGCTTGTTGTAGAGTGCCTCTCACGGCGCGTTTCTTTTTGCTTCACTTGCTTTCCATCATTGTCAAATGAATAAGTAAGGAATAGGTAAACTTCGCTTGCAGAGAATATTCGGGCAGGACCACTTTGGTTGAAATAGGTCACACGTGGGCTGCTTAACTAAAGTTCTTCATCAAATGTGACTGATCAGATGGTTGAAATAGGTCACACGTGGGCCGCTTAACTACTCTTCATCAAATGTGACTGCTCAGACCGGGGTGGGGGAATGAAAGCCGCCAGCTTCGGTCGCCTGCGCGGACTGCTGGTCCTGGAATGACATGCAACAACGTTGCGAAAGGACCAGTTAGCCGCGAAAGGCGGCTCAAACTGGCGGCTTTCGTTCCACTACCCCCCAGACCGTCTTTCAAGCGTAACGCTTCAGCTTATACTCTGTTGCCTTCCGCTCAGGATCTAGTCATACTAGCTGAACGGTTCAGGAACGCGAACGTTGACACCTTCGGCGATGCTATGGCATCTCAGCATGTCTCCTTATCAAGAAGTGAAGGCAATTGAGGGGGTGGGGATGACTTTCGAATTTAATTTGAAGCATTTCATAGGCGACATATAAATTTGCCAACACATAGATCACGGACCTGTTCTAGTAGCCTTTCACAATTCCAATACCTCTTATTCTACCCGGCAAAGATTTTGAGGTAGATGCACGTTTCAGGGCCATTCGTATGAGATTGGCATTGCTAGTGCACTAGTTCTTCTAGCAGTTTCGAATGCAAAGCATTATTTCCAAACACAATCGATTAGTTTCTGTCGTCTTTGGATGTCAGTCGACAGACAAATCCGATGGCATCGCAGTTTATATCCAGATTTTCCATACTTCTTGAAGTATTCAAGCTGGTATTTCCTCTTGAGTTTCACGTGCTTCAGAAGTGTCAGTTTGGGTAAGATGTTCTTTCCTTCCAACAAAAACAGCGCAGGGGTGTAACGCATTGAGCTGATCCTTGACCTTAGGTGTCACTCGGGAAGCAGAGGGATTGGTGACCTCGTACTGGGCATTGGCTGGTGCGCTTGTCCTCTAGCCCACCTTGTGGGGTCAACCGATACGCACACATCTCCAAGTGTTGTACCGCACTTTTCCACATCTCCCGCAATTTTTGCAGTTGTCCACAGGTCAGAGTTTCCTTCCATTACATAGTGGACTATGTCCCTCTGCAAAAAAGGGAACTGTTGCTTCGGTTCAGAATGTAAAAGCAAAATCCATGATTTGTGCGCTGATTATGTGCTCAGTCATGAAATTGTTTCTCCATGCTTTGCTCAGTCAGACGCTGTTTCAGTGAGATGTCGTAAATGCCATTTGCTAACGATAAAACTGGATACCCTCATTCGTTACATATACATCGCATTTTGATGTTTGGTCGACTATGCAAATTATATATGGGCTTACAATAGTGAAATGAATTTGGAGGACTTTTTTTTTACTTAGTAGCACCTTTTTGTTTGTTTTCATGTCCTCCGCCTCAAGGAAGGAGTTGCTTTTCACCATTATTTGGTTCACTGCTCTTATAGAAAACCTAAAGTTTTGACGGTACTCGTTGTTCTTTCTTTATTTCTTGTTTTTTTTCTCTTTTGCGAGAGATAAAAAGCGTTTTAGAATCGTGAAGGTGTGTGCTCCTCCGTGGACGCAACGCGGTAATTCTGAAATTCTTTTCTGTGAGTAATGGCACACCCGACCTATATAGGGGTAGAGGCGAAACAGGCTTAATAGTAACCCTTTATTATTTATTTACTACTTGTTTTCAACGATTAGAGGGTTATTTATAATGGTCGTAAAGTGTTATCAACTTGGGAGGAGCTGTCAGTAACATCTTTTTGAAGATATTTTAACTGAACTTCTATCTTGGCAGTTCGTATCGCTCGATGTTTTATGAGACATTCCGTATGCAAGCTTACGTTTCGTTGTTGCGGAGAAAATGTGGCGAGGTGAGAATTCATCGCGAGCCGCACACACGCGCGCACACTCACATTTGGCTCGTCCTGTTGGCTTTTGGATCGAGTTCTCAGTCCCTCGCGTCAAACATGACGAGAACCGAAGATCATTGTGGCCTCGTTGTTCGCATTATCGTCGGCCGTCGCCCGCTGGGTGGTCAGCGGGACCCGCCCACGTATGTGGAACCGCCACAGCTGACCTCGTAGCGCTGTGCGACGCATCCCGCTATTGATCGCTGTTCTAAAAGCTGGCTCTCAGTTCAAGTTATTGTGGAATCTTGATTTGGAATCTGCTGCAGTGCTTGGAATTTCTGTGAGCGCGCCGCGATGAGAATAGCATAGAAATTTTATACGTTCATTCTTTATCATGTCATTCAAGTCACTTCAAGATTTCAACTTCCACTCGGTGCTATCCAAAGGTGAAAGATTTGCTTCATGCTTTCTGTTGAATTGCATCTGTCATTCTCTGCGAGATGTTGGCCACTAACTCAGAAAGAGCTCGATTTGTCCGTTCTCAAATTCGTGCTACCCTCTCGTACCTAGGTCACTAGGTGTGGCGTAGATAATAGCTATTTCCCTTTTTGTTGGTGCCTGCTTCTACTAGGTGTCGCGTTCTAATCAAAATGATGCTCTTGGCTAGCACAAATCTGCGAATGGACCTTACCCTATTTATACTAAGTGTTCCACATGAATACGCATTATAAGCATGCTGGCTGCATTTTCCAGGGTCGAACAAGTGGATGTATAGGCTGTGTGAATTGTAATTGCACGCACTGCGACTTGTACACTAGCGAGGTAGCGAGTATGGGTTATTGCAAGACATGGGCAAAAATCTTTGCCCAAGAGCTATTCCTTTGAATTCATTGTGTGTCATAGAAGGGTACATCTCTGGTGCAAGAAAGTAGCACAATCGTAGAATTTCACTTGTTTTGCATGAAAATGATTTTGTACAAAGCTTATGGAGGAAGTCATAACTGTTGTGAAGTTGCCAATGTCATCACATGCCGTTATTATGCTTCAATTTTGCACAACATGATTCTTCTACTGATTTCATATTCCTGATCTCATCTCTAAGATTGAACCTCTGAACAATGCAGTAAACGAGCTGAACCACTGAAGTGAGCTAAGCACTTCGTTGCATCAACTGTTGATACCGGAGAGCGTTCTATGTATAAGCGCATCCATACGGGGTTTCTGTGTCATCGCATTTGTCTGTCGGATAGCGTATGATGTATGCTACTATGTTTCGGGTACGATTCGATGTATTACTTAGGTCGTTCTATCGGATTTATCGTTTTCTTTTTGAGGTGCATGCATCGGGGAGAAATGTATAGGAGACGCATACGAAGTATCCATTGATGAATTTGATCAGACGTTTCCGTTTCCTTCATCAAACATATAGCGCTTTCGTTCCGGATTCTGTACATCTTTTTACTCGAAGTTCTTCATCAGAACTAACGACTCAAGATCGCCGCCTTTGATGGGCCGACGGCGAATCACAACGGGTTCAACTAATTCTCCAAGCACAAAAAAATCGAGTGCACATGGTGAGTTGGAAGAGAGGCTATTTTCTTTATCTCAGTCCCTTTCAAACCCGTTTCGAGTCTGAAGTGGATGTGGGCTAAATACCAATGGACTTTATCGCATCTTCATGCGTTGCGAGCTCAAGATCTTTATTTCAGGAGGTAGTAGAAGAATAGTCCATATTTATAAGCACAGGGTTTTTTTAATCTATTCATTTTGAATGCTGCAATGATGCTCTTGTTGGTGAAAGGAGATGATCTTGATGTTCCTTTTCTAGAGCTACGATGCTTGAGAGAACTAGTTTCTGCGTAGAACTACGAGCGCGATTGTCTCTGCTTCGTGCCTCAAATTTCTACCATAATTTGGTTCTTGATATCAAGTGCAAAGCTTCGTGCTTCCAGTGACTGAATATTTCTGAATGCTCTATATATCGGGCACCCTTGCCTTAGTATAATGGAATTTTACATCAGTACTGGAGATAAACACACGAAGTTATCTGTAAGCTCTGTATTGATTCGTCTGTCAGTTTGGTTAAATGTGCGATGGCTAAGCGGGGTATTTGTCCTCCTCCATCCACTCACGACTCGCTCAATGTTGTTGGCAACGACGCTGTTGCTGTTGGTTTTATCCCGTGAAGCACAGTGCTGAGAGCTTCTCATAGTTCCGAACCTTTATTTTCGTAATTTGCTGGCATAGAATCCATCAACACTACTTCCATCTATTGAGGCAAATTCGGTGCAATGCTCTCATTCCTCTTTTCTCTAAAATTATCGTCAAAAGTAAAACGCGCTGTCGAAGCGATGCTGAATGACGGCTTCTATGTGTCGTCATGCAATCTCGTGAATGTATTGTTCTTTGACATTTTCTCGCCGTCCGCGTTGTGTGCATAGGCTCATCGTATTGAGGGCATCGAAGCGGGCACCTCCCCCTCCTTTCTGACAAATTTCCTCCTCACCATCTCGACGTTACAGATTCTTTTACCAAACCTGAAGCATTCATAACATGTTTACTGCTTGGTTGCAAACAGCAAAAGCGCTTGTCGGCGTCGGTGTTTCCAAGCATTTACCACCGATCGTTCACCATTCGTCGAGCAAAAACGTGCTTTCACCGCTGACTCGCGGTGTTGACGGCGTATGCACGTCCTCAGAACGCGTCCCCACACCATATTTTGGGGTCATTCTACGTGTTTCTAAGGCTGACCCGTTGAGGCACTCTTGGCCTCGCTCGCCCATTAATGACAATACTCCATGGGTCACGCGAATATCATGCGCTAACTTGTAATCTGGCGTTAGAAAGAAAATTAGGTGTTTGTTAGCGATTTGCAATCATCATTTCTGTGTGGTGCGGCACCCAAGAGCAATCAATTAGGATTAAGTCTTACTTCATTTAAGTCTTGATGTTTACAGTTTGTTGGGATTTTCCTTCTTTTCTCGTATTTAGTTCTGTTTTTCTTTGATTGAACACTCACGCAGAGGGGTGAATATCAGCCAGTTGTGACTCCATGGAGACACTATTTTTGCCTTAGCTCAGCTGAAGGTTTACATCTGAGAGTTCAATGATATCTTGTTAATGCAATGATATAGTTGATTTGAAATACTCATCTTGAATGCGCCGCTCGCGGATTTCCTTTTTATCCACACCCTAAAGTTGTACTAGCACGTTTCAAAGTGATTGAACTAGTCTAATTTCTTGCTTGCTCTCTACACCAGATCATTTTGAAGTCCATCAATTCTCTAGGGATCATATGTCTCTTTTGGACACGGCATTACCCGGTTACGAGCGCATGTGACCAATATGTTCGTAATGAATTATTGCTAAACGGCTACAAAATACCAGTCTGTCCTTCAGCCGGATAACAACCACCAGCGAGGTTCTCGTGTCGGATGGGCGGGGTGCAGGGCCAGGGTCGGGATAGTCGGCAGATGTTTTGGTAATGCTACGATCGATCTGTCGAGTCTTGTGTCTGCGACTGCGGACTTCGGATTCGGATTGTGCATTTTTTGGTGCGATTGCGGATAGTGTGAGTTTAAAGTCCGTAGGGGAGCGGACTCATAGTCCTGTCAGTGTTTTGAGGTCCGACCCTGGGAAAGACGTTCCTTGGAGGGGCGTAGTTGAAATCACGAACATGAAGCGATCTATCTGAACTTCAGCTCTCGGCCCATATTGATCCTAGGTGGCCGGGCATCTCCGAGCGTGTTTCGGACGCATGACGATCGATCAATTGCCGAACCCCCACTTGGTCTAGATTCGGCGCAGCGCTCTCCCGCACACAGACACGCACTCACACACGCGCACGGACCGTCACGAAGTTTGCCCCGTCCACTGAAGAATTTGAGGTCAAGATCTCGTCTTTGTTCTTTGCAGTTCATCATCATCATCTTTACTTTCTACTCGTATGTCTGCTTTTTTTCTGAGATTTCGCCTGACCTTCGTTTCTTCCGGGAAGGATTGGCTTCCTTTGGATATAGTGACTGTCTTGCTGACATATCACTCAACAACTTTCTTATCCGCATCGCTACAAGATGGATAAACACGCAACTCTTGTATCGTCTCGAGATGACTGCATCACAAAAATTGTACTCGTTGGCTCCAAAACCTGCTATCCACCGCCCGCCCGACATTAACCGAAATTGACAGACTAGTGTGCACCCCGGCTGGCTGGCTTAAGTATGAGAGAAAATCGATTATGAGTCTCTTAGCGTGCCGAGTCGAATAGCCGAATGAAGATCGCTGGGCAACCGACTATTCCCATTCGGCGTTTCCTCTTCCTCATTTCATAGTTTTCAATTCAGAGGGCCTATAGATCTGTCTACTTTTCGTTGCAGAGTTCATTTTCTGTATATGATGATGTTTTCGAAGCTGCTTTATCCAAGCTAAAAATTTCATTGTGACGTTGTTATCTACGAGTGAATTGTTTTTGATTTGATTGCATGCATTGAGGTTGATTGTTTGATAATTTCATAAATTTCTCTTTATCAAGGGTAAGGTGCTGATGATGCTTGTGCTCAGACGTTTTGTGTTCTGTGCATCTATTCATGTCGTGAAAAATACCAAGATTTGCAGATACTTATGTAACATAATGAGCCTCACAACCCCTTCAAGAGTTAGGTATTTGCTGTACATTTTAGCGCATCGAATCATCTGTTTTATTCGTAGTAATGCTTAGCACCAATCAAGTGGGGGAGGGGGGTGTCGATTCTAAGCTGTCACGATGTATGGCGTAGAGTATGTGCTACATGTCCTGATTATTCCATTCTTCCGCTTCCCCCTTTCTCCGAATCGTCTATTTAATCAAGGCGGCGGACTCGTTATACCACCTCGCATAGCCAACCGATAAATCACCGCTGCCGATACCGCTTACAGGCACTATGAACTAAATCTTGCTCCCGTTGAGTGTCTGCGTAATTTTTGTCAAAAAAAAAGAGCTGGCGTGTTGTTAATGAAAGGAAAGATGGATGTAAAAATTGCTTATTTCTGCTCAGTATCTCAAAAAGTTTGCCACCGATCATTAGTAACAATTCTCAATAGCGGAAGTGAAGCTTCGCAGGGCAAAAACGGGCTAAACTTAATGACCATCAGCTGTTTCTCCTAGAGTCAAATAATACTTTGGTTTCGATCGCATTTTAATCAGCTCATTCCTTGTTTAGATTATGACAGGCTGAAAATTTTTGATGAGTCTTTGGCGAATACTTGTTTCCAAAGTCTTGACTTTACCAGAAATTTTCAGCAGTGAGGAGTGCATTTTAATTTTTGGAGGAGGTGAATGTCGATTTTTGTACACTGGGGTTTCGAAGTAACGACATCTTACTAAAACAGCTGTTCTGTTGATTGTTGTCATTGAACGTAATGAAATTCTCAATGCATGGCTTCCGCGAGAGAAGCTGTTCATAGAAGATGCGCCAACTGGGTGCCACGATGAATTTCTTCTGTCAAACATGTGGTTTCTCATTTCTCACTTTGAAGGTTTTCACGCACGATGAGTCTAATTGTAGTGAGCGAAAGTTCATTATGTACGACTTACATTACATCTTTTAATTATATGGTACTTGTGTGGAAATGTTGCTAGTCACATTAATGTTACGTTATCTTTGAACTTTACGTCCCATAGTAGTAACACGACTTTCTGATAATGAACCTTCCATTTCAGTGCTACGCCAGAGAGTTGGCCCGTTGAGCACAAGCGGCTTGAAGGACGGACAGCAGCAGCTAATAAAAAACGAACTATCTATCGTCACGTCAGAGACCCAGTCACCGTCGTTTACTCGCCGCGAGTCGCGTTCATCGCCAGCGTCACCACGCCAGCAAATGGCAGATGGTTTATCGCCCGCCGACGAATGCGTCGGTCGCGCGGCGACGCCTTCACAACAAGAGGGTGGTGGTATGTGTTTGCGGAGGTGTGTTTGATCTTTATAGGCATCAATTTGAGTGTTCCATTGCTCACTGCTGGTATGTTAAAAAAAAAAGGCTTTTGTTTTCTCAATTGAAACTCTCGACACCTTCATTAGCAATGTCAACATCCTTTTTAGCTCTAGGTATGCGCTACGAAGACGTCGCTCTATCCAACAAAAAGATGAAGAAGGATGTGCTACAAGTAGTCTAGCAGCAACTGCTGACGAGGTAGTTTCAGAATTTCTTGATTGTGATTCCATCTCTGCTTTTTACGGGCTTACCTACTAAACTTTTCTCATGTAATCCTATCGTTTCTGTGCACAAGTTCAAAAGATGCTTTTGGTTTTCCTTCTTTATTCTATCAAGCTTACTATGTCTGCACATTTTATGCAATCTTAGTTTTTCCTCACATATAGGTAGATACTTACTCGATAGATAAGTTGGAGGTAGGTACCGCAGATTTGAAAGAGATCTCAATTAGAGAATGCTAATAGAAGAACCTGGCCCTTTTTATTGCGTGCTCATAGTAGCGTAAAGAATACCATAGGAAAACATTTCAATCTCTCAGCTGTTTTTTTTCAATTTTCTTGCCGATTTCAGACCGTACAGCCATGCAAGAGATTCAAGCCTGAATCACCCGGAGAAGCACGAAAAAAGTAAATTTCCTAGCTTTTATGTTGATACTTCGTCTTTTACGTGAGCAGCATTTGAAAGTTTCCTTAAAAGAAAATTTATAACTTGAGTATATTAATCTGTTTCTAACTCATTTCGTTTCAGTAGTATAGCGACAGATCACCTAGAGCCGCCCCCCAATGGAGCCTGCTATGTTGATCGTTTACCAGATGAAATTGTCTTGAAGGTTTGTGTCTAACGCTCGCCATTGCGCCTTTCTAACATTTGACTTTAGATTTTCTCAAATCTGTACGAAGCAGACTTGGCTCGCTGCGCTGGTGTTTCGGGAAGGTTTTATCGGATATCAAATGACGCCAATCTTTGGTGGGTTGGGTTTCGTCTAAGTGTCAATGCGGGTTGCGTTTCTTGAGCAAAATGCTCAATATTTACAGGAAAACGCTGTATCAAGGTGCCTTCGAGTATGCTGTGCCTTTATATCATCCCACACATGGAAAATTTGAATTACGCGAACCGCATAGATGGCGAGATACACTTAATCCATGGAAAGAAAGTTTCCGACAGCTTGTGAGTGAAATTTTTTTCGAAAATACTGTCATCTCCCCTAGTGGTCCGTTCCAGCGTCATGGTGTGCATGTTAGGCCAAGATGCGCTCAGATATATGAGGATCACGTTGGGCGAAGTATTCCGCATTTTGAAACGCTGACGCAGGCGCTTCAGTAGGTTTTAAATGATGTAGAACTTTTGTCAGTTTCTTGAACTCCATTCTAGGTTTCTCGATGCTGAACCAGAACGTGAGAAGCTAATTCTCTTGCATACTGGTCACTATTTCCCGGAACCGATCCTCATCAGCTCTTCAGTGCAAGTCATCGGTGCAAGTATGTTTGTCAATTACTTCAAAACTAATGTCACATGCTATTTATAATTGCGTGGCGTGTAGATCCTATTAGCGTATATTGTTGTTATACAACACTTGATGCCTTGTGTTGCGATTTCGAAGCCCTCGCTGTCCTCGAATAGCGATTGTTTGCACATTTCTATTCCTGTTCGCCCTCATTCCGCACGTTGCGGTGAATTTCGGTCACGCTGTTGCTTCTAGTCTACGCTATAGGGGACCTATGTGAATGCGGAAGCACTCTCATGCGCACACACCACATTTTGTTGGAAATGAATTTTTTGACGTTGTATCATTGGGGAAATACTCTTTTTTGCAAGGTGTGAATCGCAGTACTTCAGCCCGCAGTTCCGCTTTTCTATGTTAGGGAGGATTATAGGGCAGAAAAGAACATGAAAATCAATGCGTAAATGTTTTGTGACGAAAGCTTGGCAACTTAGGCGCTATGGTTCACTGAATATGGCGACCAATTGTTCCAAGTCGAAATCATGTTGGGCTTTTCACACTATGCCATAAGCTCATTGCTATTATGACTCCCTGGACGTTTTTGAAGTTATCCCAACTGCTTACCTTTTTATTGGCTGTTCGCTCGATTTCGTGTTATTGTAGAATATCCTTGGATATGTCAAACACCGAAGGCATATTCTCATTTATAGGTTCGTGCTACCTCCATGCCTTCATAGCGTACGCTTTAATCACCTTTTTGTTACTTACAGCATGGGACGAATTAGATCTTGTATGTGACTATAGATACAGTCTCTCTTACAAAGAACTTTTAAGAGAGACCATTGGTAGCTGTCATTCTTCACGCTTGGTTCACAACCAGTCAAAGGCTTTTGCTGATCATTCCATGTCTCTTCAAAGCTTTTAGCTTATGGAAATTACCTCTGCTGTTTTCACATTACACAGCCAATTTTTTTTCGTATCGGTAGAATGACGAAAAGTACTCAGAGGACAGACGAGTACCAAGTAAATCAATCAATGAAAATTGTGATAACAAGTATGTGTTTGCCTAATAATCGCATACAAACTACTTCGAGATTCAAGTTTCCAACAATTTGCACGCGCCGTGCTAACAGTGTCAAGGTCTTGTTTGTACAGCGATGGCGCTTTGGAATTGCATGACCTTGCTGTGCGCCGGCCAAATCGTGGATCTCCTTCTGTCTTCTCGAATCGTGCCGAATTTGTCTAGATTTGCAATGTATCTCTGCTGTTTGGTAGTCGATAGCTGGTGTTTAGGCTCTCAGTGTCCCATCAACAAGGCAGTCGTGATAGAGCAGCGTGATGATACGACTGTGACTCTAGTAGAAGGCTCAACTGGCGCTTATATAGGTTATCTGACGCTGAGATTCAACCCTGACAAGGCACCTTCAGCTGTACCACATCAGCAACACTACGCCCTTCAGGCACGTAGTCATCTGTCACATATATTTGTCCGTCAGATATCGTTTGATCATATCCGTGTGAATATAGGTGACAGAAGAAGCTTCGCCAGTGATTGATCGCTGCCACATCAATTCGACATCCTCTGTTGGAGCAGCTGTTTGTGTGAAACGTACTGCGGCAAATCCTAAGGTAGTTTTGCCTCATGTTTTGGAGTGTTTCAATTATGTCTGCTAATAATGAGATCCTTTTCAGGTGAGGCACTGTACAATCACTGATTGCGAGAATGTTGGGATCTATATCACTGATGGTGCACAGGTGAGTTGACTTCTCGTGGTTGTTGGAAAGAAAAGGTTTTTTATTTTAGGGCCAGTTCGAAGACTGCGAAATTGCTAGAAATTCGTTAGCAGGTGTATGGGTAAAGAACCAGGCCAATCCGTTCTTCAGACGATGTCACATTCATCATGGTAAAGATGTGGGCGTGTTCACCTTTGAGTGAGTTTTCTCAGCAGTTGTTCACGAACATTGAACGAAGAACATAGTGCAGATATGGGATGGGCTACTTCGAAAAATGTAACATCCATTCGAACCGAATTTCTGGAATTGAAGTCAAGAATAATGCGAATCCCACAGTAGTACGTTGTGAGGTTCACCATGGTCTCACAGGTGGTATCTACATCCACGAAAAAGGTAAGCTATCATTACTTTGTAGTTTGTATTTTTCAATTTTTTTTTTGCAAATGTTGTTATCCGTGTTTATCGAGTGCATATTTGATCTATTAGCACTGATTCAGGTCGCGGACGTTTCATGGAAAACCGCATATATTCAAATGCCTTTGCCGGGATTTGGATCACTGGTAGCTCTGATCCAACAATTCGTAAGAATGAGATCTATGCTGGGCAACAAGGAGGAGTGTACATCTTCGGCGATGGTAAGTTGTTCTTGATGGAAATCGCTCTGAAACACAACTGTTTCTTCAGGAAGGGGACTGATTGAGCAAAACAACATATATGGCAATGCGCTCGCGGGGATCCAGATCCGAACTTGCAGTGATCCAATTGTTCGTCTCAACAAGATCCACGACGGTCTACATGGTGGAATTTATGTGGTACGTAGATCTTGTATTTCATTCCTCAACTTTTCTCGTTCTTTTTCCTTTTAAGTGTTCACTATTTCCGTAAGTTTGTTATTTTAGCACGAGAAAGGAAAAGGATTAATAGAAGAGAATGAAGTTTATGGTAACACTCTTGCGGGTATTTGGGTTACAACTGGATCTTCACCCATTCTAAGGAAAAACCGGATACATTCCGGGAAGCAGGTTTGTAGAGATTTATTATATCACAGCAAGCCAAGAAATAGTCATCAATCCTTGCTATTCAGGTTGGAGTGTATTTCTATGATAATGGACATGGACTACTGGAAGAAAACGACATATTCAATCATCTCTATTCCGGTGTTCAAATCAGGTAAGAGAAGATGTTTGTGCAGGTTCACTTGTTCACCCAATTTTGTTCTTTCAGAACGGGGTCGAATCCAAAGATAACGAGAAATCGGATTTGGGGTGGCCAGAACGGTGGTGTACTAGTTTATAACGGTGGTTTGGGCATGCTGGAAGGTAAGTGTCCATTTCGCTCTAATTAATTTTTCTCGTGGGAAACTTTCTTTGGAGTCATGGTTTTGGGCCAGCCTTCTTCGCTCATTCTCATCTTTAATTCCTTCAGATAACGAAATTTTCGATAATGCTATGGCTGGGGTTTGGATCAAGACAGACAGTCATCCTACGCTTCGAAGAAACAAAATTTATGACGGTCGTGATGGTGGCGTTTGCATCTTCAATAATGGGAGGGGTATGTTAGCTTTTATTTGCTTTTGTTTCCCGTATTCATTTGGTCGTTCTTTCACTCTGTCTGAGTTTTTCAATCTTCGTGTTTCAGGACTTCTCGAGGACAACGATATATATCGCAACGCTCAAGCTGGTGTATTAATTTCAACAGAGTCTAACCCAACTCTCAGACGTAATCGCATTTTCGAAGGAAAAGCAGCCGGAGTTGAGATCACCAACGGTGCCTCTGCAACGTTAGAGGCAAACCAGCTATTTCACAACAAGTTTGGAGGTTCGTTTCATGAGCATTGTTTCATTCGTAGGGACGGTCTAATCGCGTTTCATTTAGGTCTCTGTCTTGCCACCGATGTCAAACCTGTGTTGCGAGATAACAAAATCTATGACAATCACAATGCTGTAGAGAGAGCTGTTGGCCGAGGACAGTGTCTGTTCAAAATCAGCAGTTGTACATCATTCCCTATGCATGATTTCTACAGGTTTGACGTTTATTTGTCGTATTGTACATTTATCTATATTTTCTCATTAGATGTGTAAGCTGCAATACAACCGATCGCAATGCTATCTGCATCAACTGCATCAAGAATTGTCATCGCGGACATACAGTCGAGTTCGTCAGACATGACAGGTAATGTAGCTTTCATGTCACTTCACTGATGCGTATCGGGGCTTATGAGGGGGTTCATTGATGCATTGTTGCTCATGCCCTCGTGAGAAAAGATTGGTTTCGAAAATTGTTTGCGAACTAATTTTCGTGTTAATGAACGAAAAAGTCTGGAACAGGCTTCCCTATGCTTATTAGAATCACTCAAAGGCATCTGTTGTTGCTCGTATGGCACAGTCTTGGGATACTTCCCTGGGAGTTATTGACCTAAAGAGTGTGTACCCTTTAATTTCATGACTGAGGTTTACATTTATGATGAGAACGTACAAAAGCTTGTATCTACCTTTTCAGACTCAAATTCATTGCCCCCTTTTATTGGTTTCGATAGTAAGATAGGGGCTTAGGAAAGAAAAATACTTAGTTTTATTGGATTTTGTGTGCGTGTGTGCTCGCACAGGAAACGGTTACATCTTGGAACCGCTTTGCACCTTTTTGCCTTTGGGCGACTGCCAAGAACATGAAAGGAACAACAAAGAAGCTCCTGCAGCCTTACAGGATTGCTGTAATGCAAGGTTTTCCTGCTGTGACAGTTTTGAGCCGGAATCGGCCAGTAGTATCATGGCACAACTTTATAAAACGATCAAAAAATAGTCGCTAGTGCTGCACCGCTTTTTCTGGAAATCGTAAAGTCAGCCTGCAAAAAGTTCGCAGAGTTTTCCAATCTAGACGGACACTATTCACCCTCACTCGAGAAAAAATTGCTGCCTACTCTCCCTCTCTCTCCAGCGCTTGTCAGTTGAAAGAAACGGCCTGTATCGAGACAATCGAATACGGCCTTGCTCAAGCAGTGCATTTGATGGGTGCACTGCTTGAAAGGCCGTATTCGATTGTCTCGTAATGACAAAGTCTATAGTTTATATAGAATGTCTCTATGTTTGACCTTCAAACATCTATGTTTATGTATTACCTAGTAGCTTTTTCCTTGCAGGTTCTTCTGTGATTGCGGAGCAGGTACACTCGAGCATCAGTGCCGCTTGCAAACAGAAGTTCGCGACAATGACACTGTCTACGACTCGGCCACTCCAACTGGATCAGATACGCCGAACATGTTGTGATGGCTGCTGTTCGTTCTCTTTACCCCTGAAACTACATCATCGCTGCCCAGAACGTCGTCTTTCATCGCTACGATCTCTTCGTAATATATCTATGTCCGATTTCCTTCTCCGGCTCCAGCTAAGGAAATCGTCTCATTTACCTTTGTAATCGTTTGTATGAAATGCATAATATTGATTCTCGATGTCTGTGATAGACGCGCAGTTCGACTTGAGCCAATGCCTATACATCAAGTCTCTTTTCCCTCAAATGTGATCATCCGAGTGTGGTCTTCCTCTCTTTCGCTATCTCTCGGTGGATACTTATTCTTGTTATCGCACCAGCTCTGCGATATGGTAAGCCATAGCCACTTCAAAGGCAGCTTCCCTGCAAAATGATGAGCCTACAAAAAAGCGAAAAACCGGAGATTAAACTTCTGCCGGGACACTGCCTTTAGGGTGAGTTAATTGACTTTGCACAGGTTCTACCCCATCTTTCACTCAATTATGCGTTGTGCTTATCAGCCGTCCGATTCTACTACTAGCTCTTTCATCTGTTGTTTTCTTCCAGTTCATCCGTTAGCGCCGCTTTGTCAGTCCGACTTTGTAGTTCTTCTCTCATCCACACTTCGTGTGCAAATAGTTATGTTCTAGGAATGTCTGTTGTTCTAGGTATTACCAGTGCTTTTTTGGTGCACGCTTTCATGTGTTCATGCTCTTCAGATGCTTTTACTCTATAGAATTCCGTTTGTCCTCTTTTTCTTACGCATAGGCGCGCGTCTCATGGAAGTCCTGAAATATATTCTTGTACTATCAAACCTTACTCTCTTCCTTTATGAGTCTGCATACTGCCTTTTGTTTCGTTTGTCTACTTGTTTTCTTCATCTACTGTAATCATATAGTTTTTCTAGTGGATCGGTCACCTTTAGTCTTGAGGAATACGTGCATCGCAAATATGTGATTCCTTTTTATTGTTAATCATTTACATGTTTTTGATGATCGTTGCGAATAACAGCGTTCTGGATTTCTAACGGAAATTGTCTGCTTGTAATAGTAATAAAAATGAGATGTCTTTCGTAATGTGCATCATGAGACCTTCGTCAACGAATAGAGGCAGCAATTTGTCACGTTGATGGCGTTGCCACTAGTGCTTCCAGCTTCCCATCTGTTTCTCGTGATTTCGCTGGAATTGGCAGATTTATGTAATGATTAGCTTGCGAGGAGTGTAATTTTGTTCCGAGAAGAAAGGGATTTGTTCGAATTACTACCAGTTTCGAAGTTGATGGAACTCTTGGTTAATTGAAGTAAGCTTCTATTAATCACCCCTCATGACATATATCAACAGGAAAATACCTCGGAATATCCTCTGATCGCGACCAGGCATATGCTCTACAAGGTGTTTTCCTTTCGTTTCTGGTAAAAGACATTCAAACGCGACTGTGTCAATAAGACAGAGAAAGCACATGACACAGTAAGGCAGTGCAATCCATATATCAGCCTAAATGATCCTTGCGCTAAAACTCTCTAAAAAATAAAACGATCATACCGAGTAGAAAACGAAGGGAGAGATTACGACTCCAGCTCGATTCCAAATCTGAAGGAATGAGTAGCCAAGATTTCTTATAGGAGTCGGGAAGAGCTCGTTGCCAGTGATGCCGTCTGCGATGTAAATCTAGAAAAATGAGACTTTCATTAAAAAATGGCAATCCCCTTCTTTTTAGAGTGCTTATTAACGACATTAGTGCTCGGGACGGGGTTGAAGATTTGAGGAGAATGGCACTCTTACTTGTACTTCAACTCTTCTCAACTCTGAAAATTTCTAAACTTTTTAACCGAAAGGATGAATGGCGGTGTAGTGAATGCTGCTTCGCGATTTTGTGGTTTCATACGCGCCAAATCCGACCGGACAGCAAGAGAAGTAATTGCTCTTCGGACTCACATATGGAGAGAACAGAACTAGTCGTCGTTTCGAAAGTGGAATTGGGGTAAAAAAAGAAACAGTGAAAATACATATGATAGGGATACATACTTATGAAAGGGGATATAAGGGATGAGAGAAAATTCAAGTGCACAGATCCATAACTGAAGAGGCTTGTCTTACTTCTTACTAGTGAAAATTCAAGAAACGAGGGATTGAGTGCATGTTCTAAACCTCGAAATACGTCTGACCAATATGTTAATCAGCTGCAGTTATGCAAAGGGAACGGAAAGGAGCGAGGGGTGGAAGGGGAGAGGTGGAGAGGGTGGTGTGTATGTCATGAAGGCGATTTTTATTGCGAGATGGACACACATTAGCGCATTTTTAGTATTTTATGTTTTGTGGGCAACGGAAAATTCTAACCATATATGTACGACCCTTCCATAGGTTGTTCGATCTTATTGTTCTGAAGTAGACTCAAAACATAAGTATTGGGGATCAAAGCCCGTGAAAATGCAAAATGTTTTTGTGAATATTTTAATCAGGTTCTCACTAAAGTCGTCAAACTTAGCAACTGGTAGCTTCAGATACTTTGCAAGCTTGAGCACTTTGTCTGGTATTTTTGGAAGACTCCCTTAGATCTAAACTGGGTTGTTAAAATGGTGAACTCAGGAGAAATCGCGCCTCTCCTTCTCCCGAGGAGATGGTAGAGTGGAAGGCGTGCAACGGCGCACAGTGTTTTTTTGCATACCTGTAAAACAAAAGTAGCCTTTTTTCAGGAATTTCAATACGCAGTTGTTGAAGTGAAATCTGTTTACGTCATACCTTTTTCTAATGTCCAGAGCTATACGCTTGCTGAATTTTGAGGCCTTTCAAAAAGACTCCTGGAGACTGTGTCTCACAGTACTGTTTACACAGTCCGTTCGTTTTTGAAGGCAACTTTTGCTGCAGCGCTCACAAAAATTCTGGGATTGCCGTTGTATTCATGTACTCAAATTTACATTTTTCATTTTATCAATACCTTTCATCATGCATAAGGGCGCTTTCCATTTACCACATGCATCAGCCTGTTTACAAACAAAAAATAGGAGCCCGCAGTATTTTATTATTGAAACGTTGATGCTTGCGGTAGTCTAGGTGATATAAGGCCGTAGGCAAGACCTCATATATGATTTTGATTTCTGGAAAACAACATTCTTTTTGTTAATGCATAAGTTTACTTGCAAACTTCACCTACAATTCGTAATTTCTAGGCTGAGGTAATGATGTTCAACAATTATTGCAAGAAGTTAGTGTTTCAATTTTTCAGTCGTCTTTCAAATTTCTTTTGACAGAAAACGGCAGAGTGACAGTTATAATAAGAAGTCATTGAAAGAGGCAAATTATGTTTTGCTCATTGCCATTTTTGAATGGATGAGCATAAAAAAGTAACAGCTTATGTAGTACTTCAAATCTTTATTCGAAGCTATGAGTTACTGTCCACTTGCACCAATTCCATCACGCATCTGCACCTCTTTTTCAAAGAAAAAAGTTACCTGCGAAGTCATTGAGCTTGCGATCAGAACGCATATACGAATTTCCTGAGTAAGCGTATGATTGAGATCTAAATCTTTGTCATTTTGCTTTCAATAAAATTGTAGAAAAGGCATGCTCACCGAGTGCATAAGCGAATATTACAACTGCAAGCGAAATAATGATTAGAAGTAACCCGGACGTGTGTACAAACTTTCTGCCAACCCTATGCCATTTAAAGTCGGCATAGCCACATGCCAAATTGCATGCATACCTGAATTATGACTGGGATTGGTTTTCGTGAAAAACGAATGAAATTGGATGATTAATGAAGACGCATCTTGCTGTTAAACAAAACACATAGTCACGTTAACAATTAAAACATTTGTATCTATACCTGTTGAAATCGAGGGGAAAGTCATATGGATCTATTCAAATTTCATCATTAAGACACTCTCACAGAAATTTTAGAGCACGAATATTTTAAGTAGCACGAACAAGATAGATTTCTTTAATTTTTTAATGTCACTGGTACCTTACCTCATTAATCCCGTGTAAACTGAGTTGAGGTACAATGATCCACTGAGCTTTTCCAAATTGAACAAGATACAGTAGTTCACAATGGAAGTCGAGAAACTGAAATCAACAGTTTATAATCATTCACGTAGATAGATCATCATGAAAATGATCTATTATATATCCTTTAGTTTTGTTAGCAATTACATTTCAAAATAATCTCTACCACTATTAATCAAAAGAAAGATCTTGCCTGATTGTTTGAGAACTGCTAAGAGTTTTCATAATTTGACCTATAATCGCTCTAATCAGTCTATATCAGAGATACTTCAGATTAGAAATTTCTTCCTGTTGTTTGAAACCTGAAACACGCGCTGCGAGAAGATTTCAAAAGCTTGAAGATATTAGATTGTTCCGAAAGTTCTGTCCGACTTCTAGCTCCTTGTTTCAACGCAGCTAGTTTCTTGGAGTTTTGTACTTGTTGCAGAAATATGAATATTATCTGAAAGCACTTTTCTTGCTCTTTTTAGTGCTCATTAATGTGACAAAAAAATCTTCTCATTGATGAAATTCCAAGCCCCGAATCCAAACTATCAAGAGCAGTCATGCTCAAAAAAAAGTTTCTTTGAAGAGAACTCACGCACTACAAGTAAAATTAAAAATGGAACATTTTATAATGGGTCAAGGTGTAATGGGATAACATGCGCACACTTGATCTCCAACAAAGCGAACGTCTTACTTTTTCAATTTTTTTCTCAAAGGTGGAAAACAAACTGTTATTTAAAAGGTAATAACAATTTTACATATACCGAACGGTGATGCATTCAGTAATGCATACGATAGAGTAAAGCGAGAGCGAGGGGGACCATCGACCAGTTAGCTTTCTTCGTGCGACAGCAAGAAAAAATCAAATATTAGAAAGTCGACCTATTTGCGCGCGCGGAGGAGGGCTCAAGTAATGAATTTTTTGATTTGCTCGTAAAAATTTCCGTGTAGCAAAGATAGCTCGAATTCTCTCTAGCCACAAAAGATTCTCTGAAGTATAGACTACTCAATGGTGGCAGTCAAGTATGCCTGCATATCCTTATATGGAAGCATCTGTACGTCAAAGTGGATGGTTTTGAAGAAAACTCTACAAAATTTTCCAAATTTTCTCTTCCCTCTCGCCTTTCTTTACATATCATACTGTGCTCTTAATAGATGTAACCGCGCTTAATCCACAAAATTTAATTTATCCAAAAATGCTGATTTTGAAGGGTTATAACATTTTTAATCAAAAAAATCTGCAAATCGGAAGAACTTTTGGAACAACCTAGTATTTCTCCGATCCCTTCTAGTACGACCATCGGTGATCAATATGAACATCCCTTTGCAGATTCTGCTGCTAATAAATATACTTCTGCTATTTTCAGGACTAGATGTGTTGACTTCATCGTATGGGAACAATCAATTTTAGATTATACCGTTGCACATGCTATAGGCGAGACAAGTCATTTTGATTGAGCTTATTGAAAGCTGAACTCATATCCCAGTCATCAACTTCGCAGGTTAAACGTACATGTGATTGCTGTCCTAGAATTTATTTGATCTATAAAATTCGGCTTTCTTCGGAATCATGTTCGTAATCAGCACAGTGATTATTCTGTTGCACTGATTCTCATCAAGAAGCGAAAAGTGTGAAAGATCAACAATAATTGAATTGCATTCATCTGTTTAGCCGTAAAATCCTAACGGGCTATTTAGTTGGTCATTAGTACTCAAATCAAAAAAATCGTATCTCGATTATTTCGATTTTTATTAAAAGGATGGGTGCAAGGTTTCGAGCGAGAATTGATCTTGAGATTATCTAACATAATTTACAGTAATAAGCTCAGGTGATCAAAGTTAGAAGTAACTAATGATTAGTGTGATTAGTGTGCCGTTCAAAACTTGCTCGATTTCAGAACCTCTCGGAAGCTTTCACTTTCTATAAGCTATGTAGATCAATTGAATGAATGTTTTCAATCAGGGCTGATCAAGACCACCAAGTAAAAAGATGTCCATATCAATCCACGAAATTATCCTTGAAGGTTAGTGTTGAAAAACTTACTAGCTGAAGGCCAGAACAGAGGTGATTGTTGCCAGTTTACGAGAGTAGAATAAGTGGTGAACAGAATATCTCCTCTTCTTAGCATCAGCACGATGTGAAAGCTGAATGGTGATTTTTTTCAGTCATTTCTGATGGTATTGAGCATTATGTATGTTCACCTCATACTCTTTGATTACGATATTTTCCACTTCTTCACCACTTCTTTCTCTGCAAAATTCGGCTCTCATAATTTCTGTAGCCGCTTCAACTTTGCCTTTGTGGATCAGCCATCTCGGAGACTCGCTAATGAAAATTCTGGAAAGTTAAAATTTTTTTGGCATCTTGCCAATATAAAGTTAGCACCCACAAGCAGAACAAGATCCCAGGGATGCAAGCAATGCCGTTAACCATCGCGAACAGTCTCCACTCTTTGGTGAGCCATGCCAACAGCGCAATTGGAGGCATGTTTGGCGACCAGGTGATCACCATGTTGATCCACATTCGGTGTCTTTTTGGAATATTCTCCATAATGAACACGTTCAGCACCCTAAATTTTTCGAAATGCTAAGGATGAAGGCTGAATTCTGTTATGCAAATTTTTTTCATTTTTTTGAGAGAGGAGAATAACAGCATGTCGGACTGTGATTTGATAAAAACATTTCTCTGAAGATTTGATTAGAAATGAAGAACTTTTAGCTCTGCTTCAGTTCAGAAAGCTAACTGCTGCCTTTGTCCGCCAAAAATTTCTTACGCTGCATCCATAGTTACCCGTGCCGGCGCCGTTCCAGCGCAGTGCCAGCACCTTCTCAAATCACCCGAATTTCCGCAGGATAAGCCAATTTTGCAGCGGTTCCACAGGACTTTGTTTGCTATTACAAAAGTGAAAATGGAAATTGGAAATGGGAACTTCCGCAGGAGTTTTTACCAAACGCTGCGCAACTTCCGAAAAACGGCAGCGGTTTCGCAGCACTCTGACCTGCCAGTACTTCCGCGGGATTTTAAATATGTTGTCTTTTACGTTCTTGTCTTCTCCAACAACCATCTCGGACTCGTCACGCGTACTGCAGTGAATAGTAAGTGGGTCTCACTGTCAGTAGAGGATCGCATTTTGCGGTGTTCTCTTTTGCTGTTGTGGTTCGCATTCTTCGGAACTTCCGCAGCATGTTTACGAAACTACCGCAGATGACTGCGGAACTTTGCTAAACGTTCTGCGGAAGTTCCGGTCAGTTGTCTGAGTTGCCGAAACATCGCGATCAATACTTGTGCGTGCACATGGGTTGGCATGACACCAGGAGGGTGCTGGCATGACGCTGGCATGGCGCTGACACACCTCCGGCACACCGACTGACGCAGCCTTGTCATAATTGAATAGATTACCTAAATCTATGCTTCTTGCAAAGAATTTCAGACCATCATATAGGCTAGATGTAAGTCAATCCAAGTGATGCGAAGATCACAAAATTTGCGAGATAGCGGTGCATAAGACGTTGACAAGCATAAATATTGCAGAAAACGTTCAGCAAAACAGGTTAGCTGAGTTTCTTATGTGGAAACTGATTGGGAGGCCTTGTTCAAGCTAGTGTTTAAGCGATAGCTCATAAAAATCATTGGTAGCCGAGGTATTCAACTCTAAACTCTCCCAGTACCCTACTACTTCCAAACGTTTTCGCCGAGTGGGAGTCGAAGATGAATTTCTAAGCACGATCATATCAAATGAGCTGACGCTCGGAAATTATGGTTAAGTCTTAACTGGCAACTGTCCATAAGAAGTCAGGAGACTGATGAAAAGCTTATGGTTGCATATACTTACCCTAACATTAATGAAACTGAAAGACGCTTTTTTTATATGCTCAAATTTTTTATATTAATTTAAGAAGTTTTCATCCCTCACAAAAGAGTGTTCGACCCTTCCTATGTTTATTCGAATAGTTTGACATCACGTATGTGCGTGCATTGATAGCAATTTTGCTTACGCAATACTTCCTCCACAGAAAAATCCCACTACCGTACGAGCGGTGGTGAATTGTGACAGCGTAGCAGATCTGGCAACAAATATCCATCCTATGGCCATTCCAGTCGTTGTCAGTAGCATCATCTAAAAAAGTACGAAGAAAAATCAGAATTCAACCTTCTATCTTCGCTAAGTTTATCATAGAAATTTATATAAACATGTCTTCGGTTAGAATTCCAAAATTACTATATTAAGTTGCCAAAGTAGCTTACCTTGCGTCTTCCATACAAGTCGCTTATCTGACCAAATACCAGAGATCCAACCAAGACTCCAAGCATTTGTATTGAAATCGAATTTTTTATGAGCTTGGAGTTGCCACAGAAATAATTCCACTGAAAATTATGATTTATGTAATACTACGCTAAAGGTTTAAGACATATACGCCATCCAGTCGCTCATTCAAGCTAGCGCATAAGGTAGATGTAGTAGCTGTTTCAGATCTTTTTTGAAAACATAGGCGCATAGCATTATGAGGAATCTTAGGTGGATGGGGGTGAGGGGGGGGGGGGAGGGAAGGGAGAAATGATACGATGAGGTGTAAATTTGAATTTTTAATTTTTTAATGTGATTTCAAAGGTAGTCTACAACTATAAAATTGTGCAAATGGCTTTAGATCTATTATTCTATTATTTTTATTTTTATTTTTCTACTTGTAAATAATTTTAAAACCTATAGAGTGTTGAAAAAATTGCATAAACAGTAGAATTTTTGTGCGGGTTATTTGACTGCTTATGCAATTTAAGACTAATTTGAATGTGTAGACAATCCATGAATCGTTTTTAAGGCCACCCACCATTTTTGTTCATTAATCGTGTTGTATATCAGTTTAGCAGCTTGTCAGATATTAAGCTTCACCGAAATAAAACAGTAAAAAAATTTGAAAGTTATGACATCATACGGAAGCCAGTCGCACGTACCAGTCCTACTTGAAAAGAACAGGGGTAAAATAGAGATTAGGAAAAAGATCAAGAAATGTTACATTTTTGATTTACGACCTAAATACAATTTATTATAGTCTTTGGCGTCTGTATCGCCGTATATGACGAAAATAAAAGAGTACCGCTAGAAAAGTGGTGGTCTTTTTGCTTTTTTCATATCATACCGAACAAACTCATTGAATCTATTAGGCTCGTAAAAATTTTTAGAGCAGGAATTTTTCAATCAATCACATTGCTTACTACAATGTAAAGTAGTACGAGATAAAATAGCGTTTTAGTAAACTCTCAACGCTTTTCTTTGTTACATTCTGAATAAGCATTTTTTCAGCCCAGCCCCAGTTCAGTGGGCTCATACCATGATTATTCAGGCGATATAGCATTGCATACATGAACATCCGAATTTTCAACCTTGAACCACATACATCTTTTATCCTTATGGACATTTGCTTGATAAGTGGATAAAAATGAGATGAACGTGATCATGTGATGTTCACTGCAGTCGCCCGAAATTTTTTTCGCAGACAATTTTTTGGATGAGCGATGATAAGCGCTTGTGTCCGTTCATGCTGAACGACAAAATGGCTACAAAGAACAACAGTGGGCTAGAAAAAGCGGAGCGAACTTGAAATGAAAGCATTGCAAAATGGGTCAATCTCGAAAAAATGACCTTTAAATTCCTTTTAGGCTTTATCGCTAAGATAAGCATTGTAAAGCGGAAAACAGGGATCGTACGAAGGAATATGAAAGATTTCCATCTGCATTTGCGCTGATGTTTAGTTGAGAAGAAGGGGATGTGTGTGCTAATAAAAGTTGCATTTATACATATTTTCTGAGTTACCGCTTCAATACGCACTTCCTCTTTACATGAAAATGACTTCAAATAATTAGACTCAAATTAGAGGTATTCCCTCAACCCCAAAGGAAAATCTAGGGATTAGAGAATCTCATCGTCAGGTTAAGATTTTCCTGGCTACTAGTAAGGCTGACTTTTCTTTTTTCTTGTAACTAGTCTTTACAGAACGGTTACTTTTGCATAACTGGAATAAGTTTCCTATTTATTGGTCTCTGGTTATTTTTGCTGTCGGAAAAAACCACCATTACTAAAACGAGTGACTTATGAATATTCCACTTAATGCCCTTCTTGATACGGAAAACAAGCAATAAGTTGAAGTTTAAAATAAAAAACTGTGGATGTATTCTCAATATGCACATGTAATATTTGGCAAAGTGATTGTCTTTGTCGTAGGTAAAAGCTCTTAAAGGCACCGTCCACCCAGATTTTCGAATTCCACGTTTTCGTCGTTTCAGGGCCTTCTCATGTTCCTGATTCCGAATATGAAGTCGAGAATGCTCGAAAACCCCGACAATCCCCATTCCGGAAAACCCACAGGCCGGCTTTCCGGAACGGTGATTGGATGGGCGCGCAAATGGGCGGGCATGGATGGGGGAGGGCGGGCATGGATGGGGTCCTCATGCATCTTCGCTATTCCGAAGCGATTTTCTCGCTTCCGAAGCTGCGTTTTGCTCCGCGACTTGGGCATTGGATTGATAGAGGACCCTGCTATTATATGCTGCCAAAAGCTCAACACCCTCAACTTAGGGTGGACGGTGCCTTTGAGCACTTTGGATTTGAGTACTCGCTGCTACAAGCAAACGATTGCTTGCTTAAATAGAAATTCTGATCTCTTGTCCGGCTTTACGTCCTGGCTGCCCTCAAATTCGACCCATTCCTTAGCGTAAATGCTCACTGTTGCATGAGATACGCGATACACGCGATTATCTTACCATCGGTAATTCTGCGAAGGTTTACAATCGTTTGAATTAGAGCTTGTTTTTTTGAGATAGCAACATAGGGTCAAACTTACAGTTTCAACTTGCCTTGTATGTCAATTTAGATTTCCCCTTTATGGAGTTTGGATCCGCCCCACCCCCTCCTCTATGAAGGGACTATCTCTGGAAGTGATCTGCTTGAGCTATTTCGTGCAAATAACGAATCATTCTAATTACAAGCACTCGTTTTTTTCAAAACTCGCTCAGCCTGCACACAACAAAAAATTTCGTGACCGAAGGACCCTCTCCATGCTGCTCCCTACCTAAAGGCAGTAAGGAGGCGATTACAGGAAGCACGGTAATGCGGCCGAGCTGCTGGCTCGGAAAAACGAAAAAGGTGCGTTTTGTACTCGTGAAGTCAGAGTGTGATTTTTCAGAAAACATAACCTTATAATCATTTTCGTAGGCATGATTACAGCTATTTTAGGGCCCGGCACGAGTCGCTTTTTATGGCTTCCGAAGAAGTCCCCCCCCCCGACTTTCGGAAGTTTTACGAAGTCCCCTTTGACCTACCTACTTACAAGGGAAGGATACCAACATTAGTCGGCAATTGAAGATGGGATGTTTATCGATAGACGCCCTTTAAACGCTGATTCCAAATCGGCTTTCCTTTTCTGCGGAATAAGTTTTCGAAAGAAGTTATGAGCGTTTGGATGTCCATATTCGCCAAGCATTGAGTGACTTAAAATCACCGAAAAGCTCTAAAACAAGCCCTATGTAATTTCCAACGGCTTTGTTCCTTGCAAACAATATACTCGATACAAAACTGATTTTCCACTTTCCGGTGTTTCTTTTTTCGTCAATTTTAGGCCACCTAAACCTTGACATATTTGGACGTTCAAACGCCCACAATTTTTTTCGGAAACTTATTCCGCAAAGAAAAACAGATTTGGAATAAGCGTTCAAAGACGCGTCTACTGATATACATTTCATCTTCAATTGCCGACTAATGTTGGTATCCTTCACTTGTTAGAAGATGAAAACAAGGAAGATTTACTAGTCTGAAAGAAAAAACGTGAAATAGTAGTGAAAGTCCAAAGTGGAGCTGAAAGCTACGCATGCACAAAAGTTTGGCATTGGAGCGCGATATTTAACAAAGCCATTTATGAAGAAATTAAGACAAAAAAGAAAAGACAATGATATGAAAATGTTTTTATGCTCAGGAGTAGATTTTTGACTGGGGTCTGTCATGATAGAACAATCTAAAATTATGTGAAGTGACAGGAATATATGCTTCAGACGAACTCAGATCGTCTGGTGACCGTCTAGAGATCAAATAAGTTCCCAAACCTTTTTGTATATTTCTTTTGCAAATAATTTTTATGTATACAGTCCAATTTTAGTGCCATATGATTCTGTGTGCGCTGTAAACAAGCAGTTTGTTCTTTTAGCCTTGCTTTCAAATCGCGCGCAGTTTTCGCCATACACGATAGAGCACGTCAGTCGTGTGAACCTGTCCGATTGTGTTCGACCAGATGGCGTTCATTCTTGGTGCGGCCGATTCGTCAAAAACGTTATCTCCTTTGCTTTTTGCTCCAAAAACGAAGTCCAGCCTGCTTACAGACGATCTCTGCCCTGCCCTGAGCTATCTCCCCTTTGTAGGACTCTGCGGAGTCGGTGAGTTTGCGGCCACTGCACGCGCAGGAGGCCGCAGGGCCTTAAACTAAACGATCCCGTACTCAAAATCGTTTCAGGTGATTGGAAGCTCTAACATCTCAAATCAAAAAAGCGCTCGGAGTGCGATAGATAACTGAGAGATTTTAATGTGCGTGCAATGGTCGCAAACTCACCAATTCTCGCGATAACGCAGAGCCCTATACCAATTGAAGTTATATGCCTCCAAAAATCTAGAATGCATCCGAGGAATTTTCGGTGGCGCGCTTCAGCTATGCAAGAAATTCTTTTGTCGCCCATCCCGCAAAGATTTTTTCGGAGATCGTAGTGTACTTAGTCTCGGCAGGACAACTCCAATCTATCTTGAGTATACAAAACTCTATTTCTTACTACTTGGATTGTTGCACTTTTTGAATCGAATGTCACAACCATTACTTCAAGATGAACATGACTGGCTCAGAACGAATATGTAAAGACTAGTGCGAATTGCGCGTAAGTTCCCGAAACCAGGTAAGAAGTCTTTAAATGTGAAGATGGAGATTTATAACAGTAAGAATAAGCAATAGACTGTCTTCATATCAGGACAAGGGATCAAGGATAAGAGATTGCCTCGGATAATTTGCTAACTTAGTATGCTCAGTTCTCAAGCTTACCTCAACATTGACAGATTTGAACTGATAATTTAGCGTTGGGTTTGAGCAATTACCCTCGATCTGGTGATATGCAGTGCAGACCTAAATTGACATGAATCTTGCAAGTTACCAGATGAAATATTTTGAAATACCTCGCTTTCTTCGAGACTGCTGTCAAAGATGCTACCGTCCCCACATGATGCCAGTTTTGGTGATGCACCTGATAGTAAACTATGAGCTGAGGCATTGCAAATAGAAATTTTCAATGTTTAAAGAATAATTGATTGTTGTGCAAACGAAACACATATGTGGTCTTTTTTCAAAAGCGATTTAACAGTGAAGACAGTTTGGGGAGCAGTACATTTGATATCTCTGATTACTAAATTTCTGGGATTCATATATATTTCTTTCTTGAACAAAAGTTGAAGCTCCTGACCCATATACTTTCAAATTCTGAACGAATAAACGATTTGTCACGCAAAATATGAATTGAGCTCTTTCAAGCTAAGGCGCGGAACAAACAAACAGAATCACTCCAATATTGCTCTTTCTATGACGTGCAGACTATAAGTATTAAAGGCTCAAATCTCTCTTCACGGATATATTCAGCGTACAGGTAAGACAAGAGACCTTTGAAGATGTGCATCCATAGTATGCACTACGTTCAGGCGGAGTTTAATTTGTTACGGTATTATTCAATCTCCATGTTTAAGCATAGCATTTGACTTGATTGTAAGTGAAGTATGCGTTTCTTTGACGATCCGTCTCGCTGATACAAGGAATTCACTTACGGTCGTAGCCTCTTGTTATGGAATGCACATCAGCAGATGCAGCACAAACACTTATTATGAATCTGCCTCAAGCATTTGGCAACAACTTTTTGGGAGAATTGATGAGCTTTCTCCAAGTGAGGTTTGAACGCACAGCTAGAATAAGATCAGTGTGTTTAATTTTCTACCCAACATATCTTATATTCTTAAGAAACCGTTTTTGCCGATGTAGAAAAATCTTCTGACAGCGTTCGAGCAGCTATACATCCCAATCCAAACAACCATTCCAAGGTGAATTGCTCTTTTAGGGCCACAATTCCATAAAATTATCTATTAGAACAGTCGCTTTTGTCATTGCATTACTTTCTTTCATCTGCACTACCACAGTAATTCAGTCACAGTATTTTTTCTTTTGCTTCCTGCAAGTTTCTCAACTTCTCGTTGTTTTTTCTGCTTTTTTTCGATTGGTGTTGGGTTTCACTGCCCGATTCATTCCAGAAGTGATGCAGTAACACAAAACGAGTGACCGATTGGAAGGAATGTATCTGTACTTCGAGGGATTGATTTGCTCCTTGAAGAAATAACTGGGTAGAATAAATAATAGCTATTATAGATTGAACGAGCTCTAACGATAGTTGATGACTCTTATATACACTTACAAGCGTAGTATAACAAAGCTGTATATATTCGAAGGTAGCTTACTATCCTCAGTCATTATTTGCTCTCGTCGTCTAGCTCACAGATACAAGACAAACATATTTTATTTCACTTCTCCCAACATTTTGCTGAAAATCCTATTTTTTGCAATGTTGATAGAGTTATTCAACAAACCTGCATACATCATGTAGACCATTGATGTCACTTGCGGTAAAATCATCAACTCGGCGAGAATGCAAATGCTAATAACGTAAGGGCAGAATTTTATGTAGTCATCCAATCGTTTGCTTGCGTGATCGGTAATCATGCCTGGAATTGTTCACACTAGAATGTGTAATTCGCAGCCCGACAGACAGTGAAGTGCTTGTAAGAATAACGAGGAAAATGGATAAGCTAAGAAGAAATAATAACTTATGTGAACAGCCGAATGTTCTATTGGAGAATGCAAGCCTGAGGGTGCAGTTTTTAACCTTGGACAGTTATGCGGTAGGAGTCCGCAAAGCAGCTGAAAAATTTTTAAAATCGAACTTCGATTTTTTACTACTGAGCGGAAGTGCTTAGATGTTGAGCTCATTTAATTTATTTACAATACAGGACAACTGTATATTGGATGATTGACACACAGATTAGCGTATTCGTTTATCGGATATCGGAAACTACAATATAGACAGATAAAATAACTGCAATACAGTAACCAGATAAAACAATGATCAAGGATACCAGCTATCCCAAGACGCGTGGAAGGCGGTGAAGCGTGAGCCGGCGTCGAGCAGCGTACCGAGGCAAGAAAGAATGTTGCAAGAATGTTCCCTCGGCTTCATCATGCCCTTTTAGTACCGTTTCTCGCTTGTTGTTAGATCGCGGCATGATAGCGGTCAGGCAGCATCTCATGCCGGCCGTTCCCAGGCGTCGCTTACATATTTGCGATCGCTCCGCGATACTCCCGCCGGCGTCGTGAGAGGAGCTTTATGAAGCGTAGCGCTGCGTAGTCGTTTGTTCTCTTCTTTCAAGCGGGACAGTTCATCTTCTCGACTCATGGTCTGAAAGGGTACTGGTTCAAATATAATAAAGTATAGATGATAAATATTTCTAGTGACATCAGACGGTTTTTTGGTGCAGCGCAAGCGAATCGAAACTGTGTTGTTTTTTACCAAGAAAAAATTGAATGAGTGCGTTCAGTCCGCGTACGGGACAACAGAGAATCATGCGAATTAACTTTACAAGCAGAAATATCATGCGCAAACCGAGGGATTGAATGGTCAAATAGGTGATCAACAGCGCTATTACAACCCCTAGTACTGCCACTAGTATTGACTTATACCAGTCTATCATGGTTTTGAATATGTGCTCTAGATCAGGCCACTGGAATTCGTTATACAGCGTGCTGTTTCCTTGGATGGTTGCTAGAAATGGGCCGCGTAACGAGCTTACATATTTGAGTGTTCCAACTAATGTGAAATCCTTTGAAATTGTTCCACATTTGACCGAACAGTTCATTTCTTGCCTTGCGGCATTCAGCGCGAACACCAGGGTAGAGTGAGGGTTTTTTGGACCACATGGAACCGCAAAAGCATCTTGGGCGCAATATATCTCTGCTAATCTTTGCGTTTTCGCATAACAAGTGATGACGGCTTTTGCTCCTTGCGCGCAGTTGTAGCAGCCTTGTAAAATGCTGTTTTCTACGGTACAGACGTCATTATGCACTTCGAGAATGACATCGTTGATCTTTTCCTTGAAGTCTACGATAAATTCCGCCATTGCCATCTGCGGAATTCGCGCTACGAGTACTCCGCGATCATTTTCTAGTTGCCAAATCGGGGTTTTGATTGGCAGGCTTGTCTCTACATCTTGAAAGACCTTTCTCAGATCTGAGGAAGAGCATTGACACTTGACTCTACTCTCAGCGGCCTCGCAACGGCAATCGTCGCGCAGTGTACAGTTTAGATTTCTAGCGGCTTCCCCAGAGTCACACTGTAAGTGTAGATCTTCCTGTTCTCTCCAAATCGCGATATTTTCACCGTCGGTGATGAATCGATCATTGAGTAGTGACATGGGAGGTAGTGCCAAGGAGGTCATCACTATTCGAAGGGAGGGTAATTCGACAGGAACATTAGGAGTCAGTGGTATAATAAAGCGTTGAAACCTTGTTTCCCTGTCCTCCCGCTCTAGCGTGACTTCCAGCTTCGCCTCTTCTCGCCATCTCATGCAGCGGAAAAGTTCGTAGACCTTTGTTGACTCTGGAACTGCATAGACTCTGTAGAAAAGGCACCCGGCGCTTGGGTAGAAGCAATCGCAGCCCCATCCCCCACAGGATTCTATACATCCAGTTCTTCCTGGGAATGCGTTTCCTGGTTCTAGCTCGGGTATAAGGCTGAAGCTGCTTACATCCGCGCATTTGTTCCTTGAACAAGATCCCATGTGCGCACAGCGCTTGCTATCTATCACGTTCAATCTGACGGCTCGCGTGAAGAGCAGTGTTTGTCGATCACAGTCAAGTTTGATGCCTTGCCATCGAATTTTGATGCTGGTTACCAGAGATGTGTTGCTGACAAGATTAAGGCACGCTTCTCTTTTTAGCGCGTTTATCTTCAGCACTTCTGAAAGCGTTACCGTGCATTCTCTCACTCCATTGGTTAGTGTGCAGATGGTCCGCTTGTGGTCAAAAATATTCATGCGTTGACATGTTGGCGATACCCTTTTGGTAGCGAAAATAAGGTTCAGTAGAATAGCTAGCGCAGTTGTCATTCGTGCACTTCTCGTTCTCCTCCTTTTCGAGAATAGCTTGTGGATCCCCCATAGACAGGAGTAAGCGACCGCTTTGACTCCACCCATTAGGAGCCAATGTAAGCCTCTTAGGATGAGTCTTAATGGTTTCCCAACGGTGACTGGAACGTATAAGAGCGCATATACTATCGCAATGAGCATGTAGAGCAGGACTGCTGAGATGATGATCGCCCCTTGTGGCCAGCACTCAGGGTTTAGTAAGATCGTAGAGCAGAACCAGCAGTCTACATTGTCACAAAAATCAAGCCCTTTACAGATAGTACTTATCGTCTCTGTATGTTCTCCGTTTTTCCACTTCAACATAACCACGTGGTCATGGAGTGTTATTTCTGCCGGAAAGCGTATCACTTGCGACTGAGCTCCTTGATTTTGTGTTTTGCAATAGTTGTCCGCGCAAATTTGGAATGACTCGTTTATAACCGCATGAAGAAATACTCCATTGGGCGTACAACTGAACATGATGGAATGCGAACGTTCCTGCGTTGTGGGTGAGAGTATGGTCAAGATCATGACATAGAAGAGGAACCATTTTGTGCGTGAATTCTTAATCAGATTCGATCTCTGGTTGGTCAGAGTATTCTCAACGTACTGTTGTTGCTTGCGTGGCCGAAGGTCATAACGCTGAGACACCTTTTCCTTCTGGTCACTTACTGTTTCAACTGGTGCTCTCTGCGTTGTTGGTTTGTCCTCTTCCTCAATTTCTAGCGGGACGAGAAGGTTGACTGGGCGTCGAATTTTTCGCTTGTTCGTGGTAAGTTCAACTTCGCGAATCTTTCCATCTACTCCCTGGTGAATTTCCGTAATTCGCGCTAGCTTCCACGAGTTTCTAGGGAGCACCGGGTCACTCACCAACACTACCGAACCAACCGCAGGCACCTCTGTTCCTTGCCTCCTCTTTACAATGTTCTTCAGCTGTTTCTCACGTAGGCTGGTCAGATAATGTTGCTGCCATATCTTCCAAAAGCGTTCCAGCAATTTACACGACGACGTGAGCGCTTCTTCTACTTGCTTCCGTGTTTGTAAAGTTCTTAACTCGGCGGGTGGTAAGTATTCCGGATCATCGTCCGTTAACGGATTTACGCATAGTGGAAGGGTTATAACCCAGTCCTTCTGCAAGAAGTCGATTGGGCGGATCATTCCAAGCGTGTCCGGCTTGACCTCCTGATATGTTAGCGGACGTGAGTTCAGACAAGCTTCTATTTCCGCCATTATCGTCACCATTTGGTCGTAGGAACGTATGATCACCTCTCTTGTGGCCTTGTACAGCGACTGTTTGATTGACTTTATAAGACGTTCATAAAACGCGCCTTGCCATGGGGCATAAGGCGTGATGTGGTGCCAATCAATTTCAAGATCGGTAATCTCTCGAGTTATAGCGTCTTTAAGGATCTGCTCACTCAAGAGAAAAGTTGGAGCGTTATCACAAGTGATCGATTCCGGAATGCCCCTGCGCGCTATAAATCGTCTTAACGCGTTCAGGAAATCTTCGGTGCTCATACTGGCTACCAACTCCAAGTGGATTAAGCGTGTAACTGCGCAAGTAAAGATGCATCCATAGATTTTGGAGCTTTTGTTTTCATCTACCGAGGGGAGGTCAAAGAAGTCGAGTCCAATGTGTTGAAAAGGCCGTCCTCTTTGAACTCTTCTTTCTGGTAAATTCGTAGAGTCCGGATAGTGATATGGCAGTGCGTTGAATCTCCTACAGTTAACGCAGTCATGGATCAAGTGTCTCACTTGTTGACGTAACTGCGGGATCCAATACTGCGCTCTGACGTTGGCCATCGTGTGTTCTACACCACTGTGATAATTCCCGTGGGCTTCGCGAATGATCAGATTTGCTAGTGCCGTCTTTGGCGCTATGATTATCGGATTTTTCGCGTCTTCTTCTAAGGATGACATCTCCAATCTTCCTTTTGAACGCCATATGTGTAGGCGATCTTGGAATAGGTGCAGCGTATTTTCCATTGATTTTCTGTATTCCTTTGAGAGATAAATTTCCTGGTGGTAGCGTATGATCGCCCTTCGCGCTGCTCGTTTGGATTGAGCCGTCGCGGGAATGGGTAAATCTTGTATATCCTGTAACTCTGGGAGGTATTCCCCTCGCTCTTCCAGTGGACGTTTATGTAGTAACTTTTTGATGAAAATCAATACTATTGCCACAGTGCGTATTGCTTTTTTCAGTGTTGAAAATCTGGAGAGATCCCAAGGATGTTGGTTCGATGTCTCTTGGATCGCTCTTGCTCGTGACACTAATGCTGTTGCCTTGGGCTGATCTTCCTTATACAGCGTGTAATTTAGGTTCGTCCACTCGGCCAGAGGTTTGCGCAGGAAATGTGGCCCGTGCCACCACATGTCGCTATCCATTCCTTCCGAATTTGTTCCTCGAGTGCCTAAATCCGCGGGATTTTCTTCCGTTGTCACGTATTTGAATTGTACGTGGCTCTCTTGCTTTTCTAGTTCCGAGACAATGTCGCGAATCTCGTTAGTTCTGTTTCTAACAAGTACCCCTGCTCTATCCTGATATGGGTTGGTCATAAGCCAGTTCAAAGCAATCTGTGAATCCGATAGAATGATGATTGTTCGCGAAAATTCCTTACTTCTTTCTCTTATTGCTTTGGAGACTGAATTTGCCAGTCGCACAGCTATCGTTAACGCGTTCAGCTCCATTTTGGGCATCGTTGTATGTCCATTTACGGAAGGAAGTTTTGATTTGGCCATAACCAGTGAAGAGAACTGTTCGTTGAAAACATAAGCGCATACTGCCATGGCTATTTCGCTTGCGTCAGCGAATACAGCGAGATGATAAGGTTGCGTCCCTAGCGTTAACCTTCTGGGGATTGAGTTTTCGTAACCATCTACACCTTTCTCAAGCTGAACCCATTCTTCGCGTAGTTTTTCTTCAATGAGGTCATCCCATTCTCGGGGGTTTTTCCACAGATTTTGTTGGAATACTTTCAGCTTGATCATCAATGGAACTAGCCATCCTAAAGGATCATAGACTGATGCTATCTGGCGTGCGACACTGCGTTTCGTTACTGAATTCGAGGGCGGTATCGTACAGTTGATGACCAAGTTGTCCTCATCCGCGTTCCATGTGACACCCAATACTTTTTGGATACGCTTCGTTGCGCAAATTTCCTTATTCAAGACCTTTTCTAATATATGGGTATTCGAGAGATATTCGCGTAGGTTCATTCCCATATCCTCAAAGAATCGTCTTGAAGCTTGGGCTTTTTCTTGGAGTTCATCTTCTGTATCCGCCGGAAGGATTAGATTATCCACATAAAGATTATCGCGTATGTCGCTTGCGAGGGCCTCGTTTGTTTCTTGCTGCTGCATGTGATAGCGTATTGTTCCCGCTAGTAAATACGGAGAGACATTCAGACCAAACGTTACCCTTGTAAAGCGATAAGTGACGATATTATCTCCTTCCGGAGGGAGGTTAACGTCGTGAACCCACAGGAATCTCGTAGCGTCTCTGTCGATCTCATTAAGGTGGACTTGCAAAAATGCCTTTTCGACGTCGGCTGTCGCTACATACTTTGCTGCGCGAAAGCGTATCAACATACCTAATAACTCTGGGAGTATACTCGGCCCTTGATGGAGTACGTCATTCAAGGACGGACTGTTTTTGAAGTGTGAGGAAGCGTCAAATACGATGCGCAGCTTGGTGGTTTCCTTATGCGGCGTTATCACGGGTTGATGAGGGATATAGTGTAAATGGTTTCCTTGTTGAAGTTGGTCGTTTGGGACCACTTCAATAATACCCTTCCGTTTTTGTTCTTTGATGATGTCCGCGTAGTTTTGAAGCACGTTTGTGTCTGTTTTCAGGGCTTCTAATATGCGACCCAAGCGTTTCATTGCTATAGCTTTATTGGTGGGTAACGGTGGATGTGATTCTTTGAATGGTAAGCGCACATAATATCCGTCATTGCGCTTCTCGATTGTTGAATTAAAGAAGTTCTCCACTTTTTCTTGCGTGGCAATCTTTTCTTCGTTCTTTGTTCCTGTGAACTCGCAAATTCCCGAGGAGTCTATGGTCCAATATTTGTCCCAGCGTTCTCTATCTTCGTCGAGGCTTTCACTGAGGTTGGTGAATACTCGTACCGTAGAAAGAGAAGTTGAACAAGCTTTTCGTCCTTTCTTCGCAGCAGTCTCGGGCATTTGTTGCTTCCCTGTGATTAGGTAGCCCAATTTGGAAGGGATGAGCAATAGACCTGATGGAAGCGTGAACCTCGGCGACACATTTTCCAAGAAGTCCCAGAGCTGGTCGCAACCAAGCAAAATCTGTGGGTTGGATTCCCTTACTTGGTTAGTTGTCGAGAGAGGTATTTGATGCGTTTCCAAGAACTTCAAGTCTTCGCCGCTTAGTGTCACTTTTTTTCCTTTCTCCGTGAGTATAGGTATAGTGTATAACCGCACATTATGATTTTTACCTTCCTTATCCCAGAGCTCAAGCTGCGTCATCTCACACACTGTTGGCTTTGCTTCATGTGAACCGAATGTAAACATCTGGAAGCTTTCTGTCCCTAAGCTTTCCAGGTTGAGCTTGTTCGCCAAGCTTGAACTGATGAAGGACTGATCTGCCCCCGTGTCGAAAAGTATCTCGACGTCAGTCCATTCCTTGCCAGCAGTGTTGTAGATTCTTGCTGAGCCTGTGAGAAGTAATACTGAACCATCTCTTCCGAGCGTTCCCTTTTCCTCGGCGTGAAGAATGGTCCTAGGTTCTTGCGTTTCTCCCAGTTCCTCGTGGTTCTCTTCTGGAATCTCGGTGCTAACTGGGTGTGCCCGTGTTTGTTTGCCTCGTTGTTGTTTAGTGCTTTCAGTCTTCCTAACCGGTGGCGTGCGGGATTGCTGCTGCGAGGCTTGTCTTTGTTCTAGATCCTTGTTGCCAATTGCTTTCGAAAAGCATCTTGGGCAAATTGTGTAATGATGCCTTTTTCCTGGGCAATTCCTACATCCTTCAACGGTACAGTCTCTGGCGTAGTGGTCCTTTCCTCCACAGTTTAGACATAACTGTCTTTCTTGCATTAGTTTACGACGTATTTCCATCGTGTCGTAAACCCTGCAGTTGACCGAATTGTGACCTATGGTACCACAGAATATGCAGGATGTGGGTTTTGATGATCCGCGTATGGCGTTTCGACGCTGCTGAGCTTCGTCCTCCCTGACGGTGACGTGACTGGTATTCCTGCTAACCATGTCATTGACTCGCTCCTCCATGCTTATCAGTGAGTCCAAGTCCGCGATGATGTTCTGGAGTTTCCAGTCTTGTTCTCCTCTTTCCCGAGACATTTGACGTTCCAGAACTTTGCGTTGAAGTTTCGCCGTAAACTTCGATAGCACCTTTTGTGCGAGAAAAGAACCATCTAAGCAAACCCCTAGCTTTTCTAGCTGCGTTACGATGGGATGTAGGGTTTCCAACAGTTTTCTTTGCGCTATTATCGTCCCTTGTTCGGCCCTCGTATGTTCGAGTCGCGTCTGTAGTATCGCGATAAGTTGTGACTCATTACCGTACTTTTTGCGCAGTAGTTCCACCGCGTTATCGTAGTTTTCGTCCGTAACCGCAAAGCGCCTTATCAGATCGCGTGGCTCTCCGCGTAATGCGTTTACTAAGTAGTTGAATTTTTGGAGCTTTGAAAGCGGTTGAGTATGAACGCTCGCTTCAAACAGGTTCCAAAAATTACTGAATTCCCACACTTTCCCGTTAAAAGTGGGGATGGGAATAGCAGGGAGCGTTGCTTTTGCCATTTCCAACTGCACCCCATTCCCTGATTGTTGCCGTTGTTCCGCGAAGTGCGCTAACTGCCCGCGCTCACTTGTTGTTGCATTTCGTGCGTCAAGTTGTATTATAAGCATTTCGGCGCGATCAATGGCAGTCTGTGTTTTTTCCATGTACTCAAACGCTTGCGCTTCTTGTTCCTCGGTCAATGAGTCAGCTAGCGCGTCTACCATGTTCGCGAATTTACCAAGATGCTCTAAGACTAATTTAGAAGTCCCTTTCAATTCACATACAATAAGTGATAAGCGTTCAAAGGAATCTTCTTGCAAGGAAACCCCCTCATAGCGCGATATCACATTGTTCAAATTATTGCAGAAGCGAGTTAAAAGCGCTTTTTGAAATTTTAATAAAGGGCCCAGCCATTTTTCAGAAAGGCGTAATTGGCGTAAAAAATGATACTTGTACAATAAAGGATGATTCAGCGTACAAATTGAATGCTCGCTAATGACCGAGTGAATTGAGAGTTCAGGACCGCGTATGAATAGTTAGGCCAAAAACGCGGTTGTAATGATTCCAAGTACTACGGTGCAATAAGCAAGGCGGAATTGCATGCAAAGCTTAGCAATTGAATCTTACCTGTTTCCGTTTTAGCCGATGCACCATATATTGGATGATTGACACACAGATTAGCGTATTCGTTTATCGGATATCGGAAACTACAATATAGACAGATAAAATAACTGCAATACAGTAACCAGATAAAACAATGATCAAGGATACCAGCTATCCCAAGACGCGTGGAAGGCGGTGAAGCGTGAGCCGGCGTCGAGCAGCGTACCGAGGCAAGAAAGAATGTTGCAAGAATGTTCCCTCGGCTTCATCATGCCCTTTTAGTACCGTTTCTCGCTTGTTGTTAGATCGCGGCATGATAGCGGTCAGGCAGCATCTCATGCCGGCCGTTCCCAGGCGTCGCTTACATATTTGCGATCGCTCCGCGATACTCCCGCCGGCGTCGTGAGAGGAGCTTTATGAAGCGTAGCGCTGCGTAGCAAAAAGCGTGAAGTGAAGCGTAGCGACGAGTAGCAAAGGCGTGAAGTGAAGCGTAGCGATGAGTAGCAGAAGCGTGAAGTGAAGCGTATACAATGCAGTCCAAACATATTTTTTCACGCGTGACGTCTCATTGCTGGCGTTCTTCGCGTAGCTGGCGTTCGATGTTGCGCCTTCTCTCGCGGTTCCTTTCTAGTCCTTCACGTGCAGATCGTAGCTGCTCAAGGATTGATTGGCTTTCTTCTGGCAATTCACAAATGGCCGAATGGTGTCCGAAACCACGGCAGTGGTAGCATTTCACTGCGTACTTTCGACAGTAGATGTCTTCCGCGCATTCTGTGGTTAGACACATGACACAGCGAAGCTCAGCTCGCAATACATCTCGGCGTGTCGCTGCGTCCGCGACAGTCTGACACGAGTCTGAATAATGGTTGCCGACGCGTTTACAAAACACACACTGAATGGTTTGTTCCTCGCTGCGCAGAATGAAACCATGTGAGAAGCGTCTTGGTGGGCAGGTTCTTCGTTGCGAGAGCTCATCTATCAGACGCTCAAAGTCGCGTTCTGCTTGAATGGCTTGGTCTAGGTCTGCCCTGAGACGTTGCCGCTGGTGTTCACGTCTTTCGCGCTCCTCTTCCAACTGGCGTCTCTCTTCCTCTTCGAGTGGTGCTTCGTCATCGCTGTTGGCTTCTTCTACATATTCCAGCTCTTCCTCGAAAGGAATCTCCTCATCGAGATGCTCGGCTTCTACGTTTGGCTCCTCATTGTGAATTTCTTCGCCTAGCGCCTCTTCTTCCAGTTGGAGCTCATCCTCGACCCTTGCGTCGTCTGCGTGATGGACAGCTTCTTGAACAGCTTCTGTAGGCTCGTTCGTCGCGTGTTCTTCCACTCTTTCTTCTTCCTGCATCGCCGCGTTCTCACCGTCTGGACTCTCTCGATTCCCTGTGCTTTCGTCTGTCGGCTGCGATCTCTTGATTAAGGCCAGTATTTCGTTCAACTTTGCGTCGACGTTACTCATCACGGCGTTTACGACCGCATCGATGATTTCCTCCCTATGTGTTGAAGTCTCTTCTTCTGATGTTGATTGCGGTCGTGTTTTTTCGACTTCCTGCAGCGTTGCGACTATGTCTTGCAGACTGGTTTCAAACTCTTCCACCTTTTTCGACGTGGATTCTTCACTGTCGACGAGAGTGGTGACTGCTGCGAGGATCTGTGCCTGCCGATTGGCGACCTCTGTGCGTTCCTCCTGTTGCAGGTGATTGCGAATATCTCTGAGTTTTTGGCTGATCGAAGTGACGGTGCGCAGATGGTCGTCGATTGCGAAGTTGATGATCTCCTGGTCCGTGAGCAGTTCCATTCCATGGGCGTCTCTCCTCTCGCGCGCTATCATAGCTTTCCAGGCGTCAAGGGAGATCGCGTTCGTAGCCACAAGGAAATGAGGCAATGCAAAAAACATACAAAACTGCGTTCTCAAATAAAGAAGCTCTAATCTAAAGCGATCACATTCATTCTCTCTCATCTGCAGTAAAGCTAGCCGATCAGACCATTCTTGTGGTGAACCTTCGATGCGCAATACATCCAATTCCAATTGGCTGACATCTCGCATTGTCTGATTGAGCTGCCCGGCGTGATCGAGGATTTGCTGGAGCAGCACGGGCGGCATCGGAAGGGTTGGAATGGCGGTTTCCTTCCGGCCGATGCACCATTCCCGGCCGATGCACCATATATTGGATGATTGACACACAGATTAGCGTATTCGTTTATCGGATATCGGAAACTACAATATAGACAGATAAAATAACTGCAATACAGTAACCAGATAAAACAATGATCAAGGATACCAGCTATCCCAAGACGCGTGGAAGGCGGTGAAGCGTGAGCCGGCGTCGAGCAGCGTACCGAGGCAAGAAAGAATGTTGCAAGAATGTTCCCTCGGCTTCATCATGCCCTTTTAGTACCGTTTCTCGCTTGTTGTTAGATCGCGGCATGATAGCGGTCAGGCAGCATCTCATGCCGGCCGTTCCCAGGCGTCGCTTACATATTTGCGATCGCTCCGCGATAAACTGTTCCATCTGACAAAGCTCCTATAATGCTTCTAATTACCAATCAAAACTTCAAAACTATTTAACATTTATACTGATGAAGTTGCAGCAAAACGATCAGCTTTGGACGCTTCGCAGATTGCGTTTACAATGAGTCATTCAGCTGAGAAGGAAGTTTTTATGATGTCACAAAATATGGTCCTAAATAGTATAGCGCAATGATTCCTTATGTTCAGATCACATCAGAAGTCACTAAGACATACAAAAGAAACTGGAGATAATGATGTGCATGCTCAAAACATATGGTTTGCATTGAGAGAGCTCAACTCAGTCATATTGCTTGTGAAGGCATCAAAAATCAATTGTGGGTACTCAATAAGATTTCCATATGTCCTTTGGAGGAACGGTCGTATATTGAGACAAGCTCATATACAGATTCAAGAGCATAAGCGAATTATTTTCTTGTAGCTGCGGTTTCTCTACAATTTCTAATTGTCCTCTTTTCCAAATAAGTCAACACCGCCTCGTTCTCACAATCAGTATAGGAAAACCCATACATATAAAACGAAAATTGCGGTGTCATGCTTAGCCTACCTCAATCCACTAATAGGTTATGAGATCTTTCAATGTAGGTCGAATTGTTCTGTTGCTAATGCAGAAAATACATAGCTGCACAACTACGAAGATCACTTTTTAAAACTGATTCTTAAATACATCAAAATAAAGTTGAAAAAAGACGGTGTGGGTATTAAGACATTCAAGACAATACGACCCACCGCTGGGTCGTACGTGTTTTGCCATTTCGGACAATACGACCCACCGGTGGGTCGTAAGATTCCTGAAGCTCTAGCTTTGCCAACTTACGATGGAACTCTAGGGGTTTCTGGCACATGATTGGGGACACCTAGGTGAAGCTCCAGCCAGAGTGGTCCGGGCCCGGGATACTGTAATGTAATGTTACGGGGGATAAGGCACAGGGTTTGGCTCAAATTCTTCACAAAATAATGCTGTTTCTCGAAAATCAATTTACGTGCACAAGTAATACGGGGTGGGCAAGAGACTGACATTACCCACCAAAAATTTATTGATTTTATCGATTTTACTGATCTTTTGCATTGTTCATCCTAGGGGGCTCGAATCTTGCATATATAGGTTCTTTAGCAAGCTGATTACGAAAACAATATCTCAAGTTTTGATACCACTTCTTTACATGAAATTCTTGACTTTTACGAAATTTCTACCGTACTACTATCGTAGCCCACTGTGGGACAGTAGTGAACAAAGTGGACACTATAAACGTGATCAGCACATGAAACAACCCCAAAACACAATTTTTCATAAGAATCCATGATGTTGATTTCGTACAGGATGACTACCGTAAACTTATCGTATGACGCCAAAAACTGAAATAAATTGTTTTTTGATAATCTGCGCCTTCGACTGACTGCTCCTCTGGAAAAATTCTCGTGAACATGTTTTGACTTTTTCCAAAAAAAAAAACTACCGTTTCGGACAATACGACCCACGGGTGGGTCGTAAGTTTGACAAAGCGAAAAAGGCTCCGGTCCGAAACGAGCAATCAAAAAGTCGGCCTTGTCGTGAATGTGTTAATAGGTTTTCTTCTGTTGTATGAGAAATAATAAGACTCAATTTACAAAAGAGTTTGGCTATGCAAAAACAACATACATGTAAAGGTAAGAAATGATAATATGGGAAAAGTTTCCACTTCGAGATTTTGATGCAATTTGATACATTTGGAAGAAAACGTTGCTATGGAAGTTTTGGCATGCTTTCATAATACCTTCACTTGATGAGCTACAATATGAGGAAAAACTTCAGATATGGAATATTTAGAATTTTACCCTTTGGTGAGATAACTAGATTTGACGGTATCTGAAAGCTATTCTATTTCAAAATTTTCACACAAAACACATGATCTAGAAGTGGCAAACTCATGACCAGATAGAACAAATAGTACACTACACTGCATGAGTGAGAATGGCAAGAAAATGAACCGACCGTAGGTGGCCTTGGTCTTGTCATATTTTAATGGGTTTGATCGAGAGAAATGATGTGACCACGAAAGCGTTACATTTCCTCCTAACTGATGTTTGACCGAGCGCAACGTCTTCCTGCGTGCCCCTTCAAACGTATTTAAAATGTTCCAATATGGGGTAAATTATTGAAACTGTCTGTAGACCACCTGCGGAGCAAATTGTAACTTTTCAAAATAGTTTAACTTATCATCCCATCTTCTAAGCACTGACAGATTGAGTTTGATTGAAATGCTGGATCTCTACTAGTTTATGGAATAAAGAAAATGAAATTGTCAAGTTCATATTGTTGATTCAATTAAAACAAAAAATAGTATGGGTCTACGATTACTTATGTTGCAGAAGTGACTCGCTTTACAACGACGAAACTTTGTTTCGAGACTGGTTCCCAAGTAGCATCGAAATACACGAGAACGGTCACTGCCTAATCAAATCAGCCGTTATATACAATTGAGGTACTTGGACTAAAGATTAGACCCTTTTTTTTCGAGTGTGATGCAGAAATTTCTGATTATCGCCCCAGAACCAACGCTAAAAAAAAGTGTTCCTCTTTTCAGAGACTAAAACGTCTTTTGAAAAGTTAGCACTGCATAAACCAAGACTTTCTTACGGCACAGCCATTTGGCAAGTTCTTTATAAGCAATAAAAGTAGGCTTTGTATGCTCAAAAGACTACGCTGGAAAATGCGGAGTATTATATCAAGAGCAAATCAAATGACTTCAAAAAACTATTGATTTTTCAATCCAATGATGCAGCCTTGCTGCGTTGATTCTGACTATTGAGTGCCGTAAGTATGGAAATGAAAGAGAAAAAGCGAAAATGTGTCTCAAATGCTTTCTTTGATTGTAATGATGAAGAGGGTTTGGTATTATTAGGTTGTTCGTCAAAACCGTTCTTTTCCAAGCTTACATTCTTTCGGTACGTAAATTCATGGATTTACTTTCAATACATGTCTATATCACCATGTTTGTATGAAGAGCCAAAACTTTTCGACAACTTTTTGTCTTGATTTCTGGCCACCAAAGTGAAATGCAATTTTTGTGACAAAGGAACGATTCCAGCTCAGAAGTATGGTTCGGGACACTTGGTTGAAACTAAATCACGATTCTTGTGTGTTCGGGGCAACTCGTATATGTCTTTCTTTGAAATTATTGCCCAAGACTGCCCATAGGATTAAAAAAATTAAGAGATTTCGTTGTGGAACAGCATTAGGGAGCTATAAAAAATTAAGAGATTTCGTTGTGGGAAAGCGTTAGGGAGCTAACTTGAGAAAAAGTAGGTTAATCTTGAATGGCCATCTTCGGAAAGCCGAACCTGGCGAAATCAAAAATCAGACACTCATTTAAACTTGCAATGAATGAGGAAGTGATTCGGCATGTAAATGAATGGAGGAGCAGTAGACCGGCCACATGTCTGACCTGAGGCCTAATAGTGTCTACCTGAGGTCACGTTTTGAACAAAATCTGAACAAAACGGAAATGAATATGCATGACTTCAGCCGAGATAGTGTCCATTTCCCATTTCGTTGAAAAAGTAGAAAGTACCAAAGGTCGGAATGTTGGTGAGAGAGCAGCAGCGCACTTCGTTTCCAAGAAATGAAAGTCAAAATAAACTGATTCCCATTCTCATCAGGCCCTATTTTCAACATGGCAGTATTCATGTTAGAGAATATCGTGTCTTGCAGGTAGCCTATGTTAGTATCCAGAAAGTTTGCAAAAATCCGAAAAAGAACAGATCCAAGTCGAGAAAAAGAGAAAACCCTTCTATGCAAAACTTTCCACTATTCCGAGTTTAAACTCGGGAGTTTACAGGGTGAGGAAATAATTAGGGCTTGTCATTGGCTGATAAGAGTAATGTGTTTGTTCTGACCATTGAGTCTACTCTGTTTCTATTGATGCGGGGCACTTCTCAGTAAACATCCAGATTATCAGCATTTGTGTCGACGATTGTGAAAAAGGCATCTTGCCGTATGCCCAGGACTGCCAGAAGGTAGAAAACGTCATTCGTTCAGAATGATGAGGCTATAGCTATGATCTACACTCGGAAAATAAAAATGGAACATGAAATGGGTTTATTATGAAGCAAAAAGGTTGTGCAGATAAAAATTTTTCTTACAATTTTATAATGATTCCCATACCCTCTAGTGCAAGACCCATGGACTAACCTAATCGGAGCGTTAGGGCCGAAAATCTTGCTGATTCATATGCTAGTATAGCAAAAGCCATGATGGATAGTGAGAGAATGGGAAAAGATAGCTTAGACTGTGAAGATAAAGGTCAAAAGGCCTTGTAGTAGTTACAATACCGCTCACAAAAAGTGCAAAATTTTCCTGAATGTCCCGCAATTCTGGATATTTGGCGGAATCAAGCGAACCACGCAACTGGGTAGCGCCATAACATACTTTGGAATGAATGTACTTCAAATCCGAAAAAACGTTATGCTCAGCTCGTTGAAGAGGATCCTTAGATGAACAGGAAGTCCTTGATATTCTGATCCTATTTTCTCAATTTTTTTGCGAACGTTTTTTCGCAGGGATGTAACGCAGCGAATGTCGCACATAGCGGATTCCGGTAAGCACTACCAATCGCTGGGAAGCTCCAAAGACTTCCTTCAAAGAATATGGGAGAGCTGGTGAATTCTGAAGAAAATCATGTAATTCCAAATTCTACACACCATAACCCTAAGATATGAAGCTTTCCCGCTGAGCAAATGTGATTTTCGCAGTCAGCAAGGTAAGATAACCACTACGAGCAAGTTAAGAAGTTCGGGCTATTTGATTTTTTCTCCTTTTAAACTCTGAAGCTCTCCAGAGGTTTTGTCAAAATGTTGATGATCTTGGGTCGATAGGA